TTGTATATTTTAGAAATTTTATAAATCGCGTACAATAGCACGGAAAAAAGAGAATGACAAAACTGAGACATTCCAAAATTCAAAATTCAAATGTAATGTCAAAAACCACAACGACAACAATAAAAAAGGTTTTATACCAATTTGTTGGGTTTTCAACAGTTTGTGCTCTCAATCGACCGGAGGGTGGAGGCTGCGCCGCATGCTACTGTCACTCTATCGCGCTGGCACCAGGAGGACGGGACGACCCGTCGGCGGCTGCGGACTGCGACGCGGTCCGTATTGTCGTCGTCGCTGTCATCGCCGAACATACTGTGGAAGAGCAACCCGGTCGGCGGTGTATTGCGTTCCGACCCGGCAGGCTGGTTCTGGCCCAGCGGGGTATCTCGGAATATGATCGCCCGGGCGGCCTGGTAAGGCCGCCCGCGCCGTACCGCGGAGACTGACGTCGTTGGTCGTCGACTATCGCCTATACGACCCGTCGGTCGGGCGTCCTCGGGGTGGCGCCGCGTGTCTGGTTGTAGTATTGACCGCGGGAACCCCCTACTCTGACCGGGTTCTGACCTCAGCCAGATCGGGTGTCGGGTGTGAGAGTAAAGGGAAGTCGTTGAGTGCGGTAGAGCCCTAAAATATGCTTGGGCCTGCGGTCTGCGTCCAACGTCTGCAGATCGTCAAGTCCCACATACCCCGCGCGTCCCCTAGGCGCGGAGACCTAATAGGAGGCTAGAACCCGGCCTGAAATAAAATAGGTTTGCTAATGCCCTCAGTGGGTCGCGTTTCCGATTCAGTGGTAGATAGCTGAGAGAGATTTTGCTAACACTAGCCCTAGCACGAGCAGTGATTCGCAGAATCTACCACCGGATCGGAAACGCGACCCACTGAGAAGATCCGACGAGAAACTCAGTGGGCTGTATCTATTGGTCAATTCGCTCGTCGAGCCCTTCGTCGCAAGCGACGGGTTCGACGAGGACGGTGACCGGTGTTTCAGGTACCTAAAAGCACCGTTGATGGATCGGGACGATCCGTAATGACGTGGAAGGGTGCAAGGCTAGAGCCATATAAGTTTAAAAATTTGAAAAAAATATCATTGACAAAAAAAAACTTCTTCAACTCTTCGAATGGAGTAAATTTAATTGAAATTCGATTAAAAACATCGAGCTGTCGATGGAAATATATACCTAGTCAGGTCATAAATTCTGTCACATGTTTAATGTAAAATAATTGAAACAAGTTTATTCATTATGTAACCATTCATATACCAAAATGAACTTAACAAAACATAGATTCTTATGACACTAAAGTTTATTCAAAATGACCTCCGTGATTTTGAATACAGGCCTTCAATCTGCGCGGCCAGTCGTCTATCGCAGCACGAACGAGGTCCATGTCAATATCGGCGGCTGCCTTAATCAAGGATGTCTTGAGTGACTCCAAATTGGGATGAGGCTTTGAGCACGCCTTTTCCTCCAAGTGTTGCCATATCTTGTAATCTAACGGATTCAAATCTGGACTGGAGGAGGGCCAGTCTTCGTGCCGGATGAAGTCGATTTCACGCGCCGCCAGCCAGTCTTGTGTGCTCTTCGCTCTATGAGCTGGCGCCGAATCTTGTTGGAATACCCAGTGCCTGTTATTGAACATGGTATGAGAAACAGGTTCCACAAGGTTCGTCAGGACTGTATTTTGATACACAACTGCATTCGTTTTTACACCTTTCTCACAAAAATGTACCTCTGTTAAGCCCCAATAAGAAACTCCCAACCATACCATGAGCGAGGATGGAAAATGACCTCGTTGGACACGCGGAATACGGTTGCTCGCTTCTTCACTACTGTGTGCGTACACCTTATCATTTTGTTTGTTGTAGCTCTCTTCTACGGTAAAAATTTTTTCATCCGAAAAAAGAATTTCCCGATATTTTTTTCCCGCGTACCGCTTCAACAAAGCGCGGCATCTCTTCAGTCTCAGGTCCATTAGACGAGCATTCAAACGATGTCCTGTTTTTCTTCGATATGCCCGAAGCCCTAAGTCTTCATTTAACACCCTTTTCACCGTGGTTCTGCTTAACCCCATCTGAAGGGCCAACAGTTTCTGCTTACGTTTGGGATTTCTTTGAATTCGCGCCTTCACAGCTTTTATCACTGCTGGAGTCCTAACAGACCGGGGGCGACCACTTCTTGACCTGTCATCTACACTAGAGTCTTCATTGTATCGTTTGATGGTACGTTAACTAATCTTTTGGTTATATTCAAAATTTTCAGTATGTAAAAAATTTGAATTGGCGCGTAACCGCAACAATGCAACGCAATAACTGCAACACGGTCTTCTATAAGCGTCCACTCCATATTTAAAAATGAGTAAAATTCTAAAAGTATACATTTTTATTTTCATAAACAATTCGAAATTCGAATTCAATAAACTTTTTTGTGGCCAGCATTCTAAAAGAAAAGTTTTTACTGTGTGACAATACTTATGACCTGACTAGGTATATATTATATATATGAATTCGCTAAAACTCGAGAACGGCTGGACTGATTTTTCTAATTTTGGTCTTGAATTATTTGTAGAAGTCCAGAGAAGGTTTAAAAGGTAGATAAATATGAAAATGCTCAGAATTAAATAAAAATAACAGAATTTTGTTTTTCCTTTAATGTGTCCCCTGTCGGACGGATTCCTTTTGTTTGTTTTATGTCTATTTTATTCAATAGTTTAGGTCTTTTATTTATCGGTCGAGGCACTACGAAGTCTGCCGGGTCAGCTAGTACCTAATAAAACGCACCTAATACAAAGATAAATGTCGCGTGTTAAGCGTCAAATGTCTCTTAACCCAAATAGTCTTTTATCCCTTGATATAGATTTCAAACTGATTCGACTTATGGGTCCGAAAGATAATTTCCTACCGCCTACTAGCGCCATCTATCCGGCACTAAAGTAACTACGTCCGTCGAGTGCTCATGTCGCCTCTAATCTGTGTGCAATATTCATAATATTTGGGCTAACGGTTTTCGAGTTTTAGGTGAATATACTCAAACTTACATACGAACATACATTCTCTTCTATATATGAGTCGACTATTATCAAAGCCGGCGATCTGACTTTTGGAAAATTATTGGTAAATCAGAAAAACGAATTATTGACTTTGTATTCAATTGGCAGTCACAAAACTCTTCGGAACGACATCTTAGATAAATAACAGGTTAACTATTAACCTTTATTTAATGCAGGTTTTGAACCGTATTCTTTGAAGGAGACGATTATATTCAAATCAATCTGTATTGACATATCAATAACATTTTTTTTCCAAATGCACAGATTGCCACCTTTGATAATAGACGACTCATATATATGTAGATGATGACAATAATAAAACCGAGGTTAAAACGTAAAAGTAATTTTAATTGACATACAAGTTTTCAACGGGGGTTCTCACGGGGCTCAAACCTGACGATGTTGCTAACACGAACCCTAGCAAGAGCCGTGCTTCGCAGAATCTACCACCGGATCGGAAACGCGACCCACTGAGAAGATCCGGCGAGAAAATCAGTGGGCTGTGTCTGCGGGTTAATTTACTCGCCGAGCCCTTCGTCGCAAGCGACGGGTTCGACGAGAACAACGACCGGTTCTTAGGGTCCCTAAAAGCACCGTTAGTGGACCGGGAGGATACGAGATGACGTGACACATAGCATGGTTTTCGCTTTTCATTATTTTCGTTAGCACTGTTAAGGCAGTTTGGTTTTTTTCGCATTATTCAATCATTTATTTTTTATCTCCGTCGAACATTATACTGTGCGAGCGAGAGGTAGAACTCAAGTATTAAAAAGTAAAGAAGATTATAGAAAAACCCCTGACGAATGACCGGTAGCAAAGGTCAAGTGTACGTACGCTTTAAAAACTCTCAAAGCCCGTTATCATTAATGGCATAGCCTCAATAACCTGTTCGACGCAATTGACGGCTGACTATAATGTTGCCGTGTTCGGAAAAAATACTGAAATTCCCAGAATATTAGTATTAAAAAAATGCAACATTTTGGCTTTTTCAAATATATTGGAATAGCTAATAATAACTGTCAAACACGGTTTTAGCTAATCGTACACATAATTAAAACTTCTTTTATGGTTTATTCTCACTTTTTTTTCAGTATCGAAAACTGTAAATCATTGGAAACGTCGGAGATAATATAATGACAGCAAAAAAAAGCAAATTAAACAAGCGACTATTACGCAAACGCGAAGGCGTTAGACAAAGTCTGTCACAGCGGTTTAATTTACAAACTGTATAACATGGGCGTGCCAGATACTCTCGTTCTCATCATAAGAGACTTCCACGCTACTCTCATCATAAGAGAGTATCGCGGCGCCATCAAGGTGGGCTCCGGGCCTGTTGACCGAGGGAACCGGCGTTCATATCACCGGCGGCCGCTAGTCCGGCGTCTGGAGGACTGCGGGATGGATGTAATATGCTCTGCGGAACCCGCCGTCTCAAAGTCAATAGCTCAACTGGGCTCTGGCCCAGTCCGGGATAGGGCACCGGCTGTGAGCGGCAGGAGTTTTTAGTGAGGTTCAACTCCCACACACCCCACCCGCCGTGCTGGTGGGGATCTGGCGCTTTTCTCCTATGGAAAAAAAAATGATATACCGTCTGGTTGGATTCATTCCAATGTTTCACGAGCGCTATGAGGTGATCTTCATATTACTAGTACGAGAAGTTGATATTTAACATTTGGATAGTTTAAAGTAATTGGTTTTTAATCCTTATTGTTTCGCAAACCACAAACCAAGCAGAGGAATTAAGAAGTTGATATCAGGTTTCTTTTTCGGTATACCCAGTGCTTGGTATACCCAAATTATTTCTTGCCAAGGCAGTGGCAAAGTCAATGTCCATGAGTAACGTTGATCACATCAGGCCATTCTTCGATGACAATCGAAGAAAAAAATGGATATAAGTTCTCGTATTATTTTTTTCGAAATTGGTATCCCACAGTCATTCACTTGTCTTCTGAGCAGATAGACAGTCAAACATTAAGAACTTAATACAAAACAAGACGACAGTAATAATAAATTATTATTACAATTAATTACTAAGAAAAAACATCGAATTTAATAATATTAGTGAATAAAAATATCACTGCAGTGTAAAAATGATTTAGTCAAAAAGTTTTATAATTGATTTTCCTTGTTAGTGTTGATTTTTGTGCAAATCAATGTATTGATGTGACGCATTTAATAGGCTGAATTACGTTTTAACAAAATAATGTATTTATATTTATCGGTAATATTGTTCGGTAAGTTTTTTCATTAACTTAATAATTATGATTTCTAAAACAAAGATCAGTTTTATTATATTAATATACATTTATTATCCATTTGTGTGGGTATAATCTGTGCATATTATTTTCTCTAGGAGCCCAAAAATTTATTTCTATTAAAAGATTGTGCTCTATCATTATGTATTTAAAAGTAAAATTGTATTTATTACAAGTTATTGATTCGCGTTGACGAACTGATAACGGTGTTTTGCCAATGTTATTGACATTTTACTTGCAGACTTCAAGTTGACAATGACGTCAAACTCTTGTGTTCGTTAACAAAAAAAAATCTATATAGTAAGACACTTTTTTCTTAAAAGCCAAACTTCGCAAACTTTATAGTAGACTTTTACATCGGATTGTGTTGACCTCCTTATCATAAAGTTGAAAATCGCACAGCATATTTGAGGATTTTTTTTTTAAATATAAATTGAAATTACCAATTTTCGGAATTGAGTTTCGCGTTCAAGTTCAACGTCCTTGCTATCTTGGACATAAAGTTGAAAATCGTAAATCATATTTGAGTTTTTTTTTTTACCTAATAAATGAATTATGAAAACATCTGAAATTAGTTTTGCACCGTTATTTCCTTGATATAAAGTTGAAAATTGCATATTGTATTATTTGAGAGTTGTTAATCGTATTCAGAATATTGTCGAATTCAGAACACGATGTTAATTTTGCGGCATATAAGTTTCTGGTGCTTGAAGCTGTGGTCCACGGACATCAAACGTGATTATCAAAATTTCGATGAAAAAATTGGCACTTGTAGCTCGTCCATCCATCTAAGCAATAAAAAAATATAAAAAATTAAGTTTTTACTGGAGCTCATAGACATCTACAACGTAAATGCACCACCCACCTCGAGATATAAGTTCTAAGGTCTCAAGTATAGTTACAACGGCTACCCCACCCTTCAAACCGAAACGCATTACTGCTATACGGCGGAAATAGGCGGGGTGGTGGTACCTACCCGCGCGGACTCCCAAGAGGTCCTACCACCAGTGAACACCAGGCTTTAAGTTCGTCCACCCATCTAAGCAATAAAAAGAAAGATCGATTCTTTGGAATCGATTTTTTTTTGTCTTTGAATAAAAATTCATAATCGTTAGCCTAACGAATTATCAGTGGCGTGTTTTTAAGTGTTTTCCTGTTAACCATTTCGTTTGTAACCGGTTATGAAGGCGTTTAATTGAAATTTGAAGCTGTCGGGAGAATTTTAAGCGATATTTGCACAGAATGACTGATTTTAAACTTTTTTTTGTTAAGGCGACGATGCGTTAGACACAAGGTGACATTTTACAAAACTTACATAAGGCCTGTCATGACTTACGCGAGTGTGGTGTTCGCTCACGCGGCCCGCACACACATAGACACCCTCCAATCTCTACAATCCCGCTTTTGCAGGTTAGCCGTCGGAGCTCCGTGGTTCGTGAGGAACGTTGACCTACACGACGACCTGGGCCTGGAATCTATCCAGAAATACATAAAGTCAGCGTCGGAACGGTATTTCGATAAGGCTATGCGTCATGATAATCGCCTTATCGTTGCCGCCGCTGACTACTCCCCGAATCCTGATCATGCAGGAGCCAGTCACCCTCGACGCCCTAGACACGTCCTTACGGATCCATCAGATCCAATAACCTTTGCACTAGACGCCTTCAACGCTTCGCAGAATCTACCACCGGATCGGAAACGCGACCCACTGAGAAGATCCGGCGAGAAACTCAGTGGGCTGTGTCTGTGGGTTAATTTACTCGTCGAGCCCTTCGTCGCAAGCGACGGGTTCGACGAGGACGATGACCGGTGCTTGAGGTACCTAAAAGCACAGTTAGTGGATCAAATATCTATACTAATATATAAATCTACAGTAGTTTTTACGGATATTCCGTTATAACTACTGAATCATGCATCCGATTGACTTGAAACTTGGTATCAATGTAGAAAATACATGTACTTAATGGATAGCGTCGAACTCTCTAATAATAATGACAATAAATATTATAATAATTTTAAATACCCAGCAAAGCGGGCGAGTACGGCTAGTAAAGTATAAAGTTAACTCAATTTTGTATGAGTTGGAACGTTTGCCTACGTTTGCCGCTAGGGGCGCTGTTCCAACTCCATACAAATTTGAGTTAACTTTTACGCTATCGAGAACGTTAAAAAAGTCGCACGTTAGCCCACTGTATTAATTAATTTAATTTAAATCATTATTAAAACACATACGACTCTCCGCTTCTGAGAGGTATTGTGACGCATAACAAAGAATAAATGGTAAAAACCTACTCGGGGAATTACCTACGGACTGTTGTATTGAAATTCACAAGGAAACATGTCGATTCTAAGTAATCTCAAAAACGTTGGGAAATCTATTATTACTTGTAATAGAGTAATGGTGTGGAATTATTTATCTTCTTTAGAGACGGGCGAACTAGGTCACGGCGCGTCTGGTGCTAAGCGATCGCTGAGGCCCGTAGACATCAGCAACGTCAACGCCGCCACTAGGGCTTTGCAACGCAGACGATTTTAGTCTCCAGTAATTTTTCTCCAGTTTTCATAAATCCCCCTTCATTCCCGATCCTGCGGACAGAATGGAAAGCAGTCGACGTCGTCCCAAACATGTCATTTCGGATCCTCCCGATCCACTAACGGTGCTTTTAGGTACCTCAAGCACCGGTCATCGTTCTTGTCGAACCCGTCGCTTGTGACGAAAGGCTCGATGAGTAAATTAACCCACAGACACAGCCCACTGAGTTTCTCGCCGGATCTTCTCAGCGGGTCGCGTTTCCGATCCGGTGGTAGATTCTGCGAAGCACGGCTCTTGCTAGGGTTCGTGTTGCAACGTCGTCAGGCTTGAGCCCCGTGAGCTAATCTACTAGTTAAGATTACGCTGAAATAGCCTCTCAAGGCTATCAGCTTAGGTAATATCCCTAAAACCACGTGACCCAATAACGAATCGGACGTGGTCAAAAAAAGTTGTGCAAACTACATATCTAGCACATGGTATAACAAGCGTAGGCACGTCTGTTGTTAAAGGCCTGCTACTCATACAAAGCGATGGAACGCAACGATGGTGCGATTCAAAATTACTCGTAGCGTCATCTATTGGTGATGAACGTAAGCGTGTTGGGACTAAGCGAAACTCTGAGGAACTGTACGTCAAACACGAAAATCTATCGAATTCTTAGTGCGAATGTATCGAGTTCTCGTTACGAAAATGGATTACATTAGAGCAGCGTTTCTCAAAGTGGGCGATGACGCCCCCTTGTGGGCACTGCAGGCCTAAAGGGGTCGTTGTGTTGAGGCTTGAGAGGCGATTTGTAATTTCATCTAGGAGAACTCTTAGACGCCGACTGAGTGGTGGTTTTTGAGCAGGTGAAAAAATGGGGGCGGTAAAAAAAAATAATTTATTCTCGAAGTGGGCAGTAGATAAAATAAGTTTGGGAACCGCTGCATTAGAGGGTAGTACTCGATAGCCAGACAGCCTTCGTGATTTACGTTACCGCATGTCAAAATAATTTTCGTGCTCTCGATTATGCGAGTATAAGTTTAGAGTTTCGAGAACGTGACGATTCTATTGCGAAACGATAGTAAGTGAATTCATTCGTGCCGCTGTTTTTTTTTAAAGCGATTTTACGAACTGGTAACTTAGACCTTTAGGTCAAGTCTTATTTTATATGAAAAATCATGTTATGAAATGAAATGAAGTTGATTAATATGAAACATGGCATGAAATGAAACAACAACAATAAAATTAAACAACAATAAAATAAAACAACAATAAAATTTTCGAATCACGAGTTCAAAGGATCAGAAGCTCACTAAAATCTATAAGATATCAACGACCTGGTCTATTATTGCGAACCATAGTAAAATTGTACAGGGCGACCAGGTCTTCTCCTGCCTAGCGGTTGCCACTCAAACGCGATTGATGCTGCGCTGACTCCGCTGCGCCTTAGAGTGTGTCCTATCCAACGCCATTTCCGATGAGCAATGTCTTGCGCGATGTCTCATGTCAATGTCTCACACACACACTTGGCGACGCACCGTGGAGAATGAGATGAGGACTGCCAACGTGACCTGGAGTGATGTCAAGGAGCAAGCGCAAGACAGGGTAAAGTGGAGACAACTTGTGAGGGCCCTATGTACCAGCGGGGTACCCTAGGACTACAACAACAACAACAACAACATAGTAAAATTACAGGGTATCAGTGACTCTGTATACTGTACCACAGAATCCAGGTTCATGTTCAAGTCGTAGTCAGCATATCTGTGTTTCAAATTCTTTAACTGGGCAAGATCCCGTAAAACCTTACATAGGAATCGGTCAATTATTGAATACTGTCTCTTTTCAGTAACGTCTTCTGTCCTGACGAAGATCACCAATCCATACGACAGCTCGTGCAGGTGAGATTTATTTTTATTTATTTATTTATTTATTAAGTTGCACCAACAAAGTGATCATCAATACAAAACATTGAACAATTGACAAAAGTTCATGACAGATGTCACCTCAATTATAGGTGCAATCGACAACAACAACAACTAATATATAATATAATCGATAACAAATGTTAACGATTGACTTCCACGGTGAAGGAATAACATCGTGTAATAAAAATCAAACTCGCAAAATTATAATTTGCGTAATTAATGGTGGTAGGGCCTCCTGTGAGTCCGCGCGGGTAGATACCACGACCCTGCCTATTTCTGCCGTGAAGCAGTAATGCGTTTCGGTTTGAAGGGTGGGGCAGCGTTGTAACTATACTGAGACCTTAGAACTTATATCTCAAGGTGGGTGGCGCATTTACGACATAGAAGTCTATGGGCTCCAATAACCAGTTAACACCAGGTGGGCTGTGAGTTCGTCCACCCATCTAAGCAATAAAAAAAAATATGTGTGCGTGTACTAGTGTACACACGTAAGAAGTGAAACTTGTTTATGGCCTTATTTTTCGAAAAATGATCTACATGCAACTTTCTAGAAATTGGTTAAATAAAGTTAAATTAGATAAAGTTTAAACAAAAGGATTTTATTATCATAGACATGAATACAAATAATACAATTATTTCACTTTACCTTTTTGCTACTAAGATTATTACAGCATTTTAATAATACATCTCTTTGATATCATAATACCCTGGTACTTTTCTTCCTATAAATTAATAATAATAGCACGGTCCACGTGGTGTTAAATGGGGTTCCTGAGGTTCGTGAAGTTTGACCCACCTTGAGACATGAGGTCGATTTCTCAAATCCGAAACCATGCTTCAGAACATACCGCCGTTAATTATTAATAAATCTCTTTGCTATCATAATACCCTGGTACTTTTCTTCCTATTATTTTACGTAATAACAGTAATAAATAGCACGGTCCACGTGATATTATTAAGTGGGCTCCCTGAGATTATTGGAATTACAAAATGATTTCCGTAATCCACCTGGAGACATGAGGTCAATTTCTCAAATCGGAATCCATACTTCAGAACATACAGCCGTTAATTAATAAAGAAGGCTGTACGTCAGAGTAAAGTTATAATAATACATCTCTTTGATATCATAATACCCTGGTACTTTTCTTCCTATTATTTTACGTAATAACAATAATAGCACGGTCCACGTGATATTAAGTGGGTTACCTGGGATTATTGCAATTACAAAATGTATTCCGTGACCCACCTTGAGACATGAGGTCGGTTTCTCAAATGCGCATCCATACTTCAGAACATACAGCCGTTAATTAAAAGATGGCGCGTAACGGAAAAATGTGACGCGTAACCGAAAAATGTGACGGTAAATTTTTTTCCAACGCCGATAAGGAAGTTTCACTTCAATAAATTAAAAAAAAAAACGATCAGTATGAACTCTAAAGAAGGCTGATCGAAGTCGGGTCAACGCGATTGAGATGTGGTGCTCGAGAAAAATTCTGCGGATTCCTTGGGTGGCACATCGGGCAAACGCGTCAATCCTGGAAGAACTAGGCGTCTCCACAAGACTCTCCACCGCTTTTTCGGTCACGTTGCGAGGACAAAAGAACGACAATTTCGAAAGACACATCACCGACAAAGTGGAAGTAAAGAGGCTTAGGGGGCGCAGTCCCATGTACTATTCCGATCAGATTAAGACGACTTTGGACTCCAGCATCAATGTCGCTATCCACTGCGCGGAAGACAGGAATGAATGGAGGAACATAGTCCTAATAAAAGTGCTCCATAAAGGTTACGACTGTCGGCACTGAGGAACACGACGCACGGAGGAGGACGATCAGTAAAAGCCCGTTGGCAAAACCGTGGTTCAATACCCTTAGCTCTTCTTAGCCTTGAGCTTTGAGCTTAACATTTCATTTTACAGCTACAACGAGTTTGAATGCGGAGATGGGGGCTGCGTGAGCATCGACAGAGTCTGCAACGGCATAGAGGATTGTTCTGGTGCCGAAGATGAGACTGTCTGCTACGAAATGTAAGTGCACTTGATAGATTATTACTGGTGGTAGAACGTCTTGTGAGTCCGCACGGTTGGGTACCACTACCTTGCCTGTTTCTGCCGTGAAGCAGTCAGATGTTTTAGGTTGAAGAGTGGGGCAGACGTTGTACTGAAAATTTGAGACTTTAGATCTCATGTTTCAAGATGGGCGGCGGCATTGACATGGTCAGGGACGTCTTAAACTAGGATGGGGCCTTTGGGCACACAAGAATTTGAGGCCCTTTTGGAAAGTAAAAAAAGCGAATTATAATAACATTTTTTTACTGAGTTTGAGACCATTTATTATAGGTAATCAAAATATACAGTATGATATAATATGTCATTAATGATATTAGAATGCTGCTGGTTTTTTGGGTACGATTTCGATAACGGTTTGTTTCGGGATTTCTGTTGAGCAAAATCTTCTATTATAGGCATAGTATATGCCTTGTATATATATACCTTCCGATTACTGATTTGTGAAAAAAGTGTAATGTGCCCGACAAAAATGTTTTGAGAATAAACGTGTGAGAAAAATTGTCGATCTTTCGAGGCCCCCTGAGAATGAGGGCCCTGGGCACGGGCCCCGTGTGCCCTTATGGTAAAGACGGTATTGGACATGGTTGATGTCTATGGGCTCCAGTAATCACTTAACACCAGGTGGGCTGTGAGCTTGTCCAACTATCTTAGCAATAAAAAAAAACGCTAAACGGAGCGTGTATAACACGTACAAACTATATGAACATGTTTTTATTATATTATTAATGTTAACCTTCCAGACCCGCAAAATTTGGATTGCATAGCTCTAGACGGCGTAGACAGACTTCTAATTGCAAGTAAGTGATCGTTTTGTGGCCACGGAATAGTTACTACTAACTGGTAGGGCATATCTTGTAAGCAGGTAGGTATCCTCAACTACCCTGCCTATATCTGCTATGAAGTAGTAATGCGTTTCAGTTTGAAAGATGTGCTTGTCGATTACGACGAAGGGCTCGGCGAGTAAATTAACCCATAGACACAGCCCACTGAGTTTCTCGCCGGATTTTCTCAGTGGGTCGCGATTCCGATCCAGTGGTAGACTCTGCGAAGCACTGCTCTTGCTAAGGCTAGTTTAGCAAATTCTCCAACAGAAATCGACGTAATTACTTCAGTGCGCCGCGTAGGGCACCGATGACTTACACGACAGTCAAAGGGCTTGACTGCTCAATCAACAATGACATAGCGTTTGACATAAAAAAAAATTAGGGGATTTTATGACCTGGTAACTAAGACCTTTAAGTCATGTCTTATTTTAATATAAATTCATATTTTTATGAAAAATTATAATATGGAGTGAAATGAAATGAAATGAAATGAAGAGGATTCATTTGAGACATTGATCAACTATGTGGAAGGTATTGGTGAAGGCCTATGTCCAGCAGTGGGCAGATAAAGGCTGATGATGATGATGATGATCAACTGGGATGAAATAAAATGAAATGAGGTGAGATGATATGGGATGAAATATAATCTTAGTAAAATGGTGGTCATTTACTGAGATTTTTTCAGTGGACTTTTTGGAGGATCCCGAGATGTTACTTACCTCCAGCGGCTTTGTTTCATTTTTCCACATTTGTGCATTTTCACAGATATTAAACAGTTAATAAACCACCGTTATGACACATTTAAACCCGAAGAAACACTAAATAGATAAAATAAAACAAATCACACAACTTTACTCCTCGCGTTCCCGCCAAAAAGTCCCGTTAGACATATCTATGAATACAACCACAGATGGCGTCATGACTTTATCGCCATATCTATCAAGGGCCAAGGCGCATATAGCATGTCTTCGATGATCAACAAAAGATCTGAGTGTGTGTGCTTAGTGCGAGTTTTATAACGTTCTCGATAGCGTAAAAGTTAACTCAGTTTTGTATGCTGTTGGAACAGCGCCCCTAGCGGCAAACGTAAACAAACGTTCCAATTCCAAACTCTGAAGTCGTCGTGGCCTAAAGGATAAGACGTCCGGTGCATTCGTATGTAGCGATGCACCGGTGTTCGAATCCCGCAGGCGGGTACCAATTTTTCAAACCAAAATACGTACTTAGCAAATGTTCACGATTGACTTCCACGGTGAAGGTATAATCCATCGTGTAATAAAAATGAAACCCGCAAAATTATAATTTGCGTAATTACTGTTGGTAGGACCTCTTGTGAGTCCGCACGGGTAGGTACCACCGCCCTGCCTATTTCTGCCGTGAAGCAGTAATGCGTTTGGGTTCGAAGGGTGGGGGTAGCCATTGTAACTATACTGAGACCTTAGAACTTATATCTCGAGGTGGGTGGCGCATTTACGTTGTAGATGTATGGGCTCCAGTAACCACTTAACACCAGGTGGGCTGTAAGCTCGTCCCATACACCCCATATACCCCTCAAGGCTTCGATCAACAATAGTAACCCTCAAGGCAATAAAGAAAATTTAAAAATAAAAATAAAAACATAAAAAATTGCGTTAACTTTTACGCTATCGAGAACGTTAAAGAACTCATGTTTTCTTTTTGCGCGTTCTTGGTTAGGAAGTCGGAGTGGCGTTGCCGCGACGGTACGTGCATCTCGTTCGACGGTAAGTGCGACGGCGTCGTCGACTGTCCGGATTCGAGCGACGAAACCCACGCGCTTTGCGGGAAGACTACGTGAGTTTAAACATCTCTTAATATCGGTAGGCGGCGGCTTGGCTCTGTCTCTGGCGTTGCTGATGACCATGGGCGACGGAAACCACTCGCCATAATGTGGGCCGTATGCCCGTTCGTTTGCTCTCTTTCTCTTTTGTCGTATTATTCTTGTCAGAGCGGTCGTGGTCGTCATTCGGTATCATTGCTGTGGGCAGATGTTATGCGCCTCACGAGCAATAGAAGGCACCACATTCCCGATCCTGCGGATACAGAATGGAAAGCAGTCGACGTCGCCCCAAACACGTCATTTCGGATCCTCCCGATCCACTAACGGTGCTTTTAGGTACCTCAAGCACCGGTCGTCGTTCTCGTCGAACCCGTTGCTTGCGACCAAGGGCTCGGCGAGTAAATTAACCCACAGACACAGCCCACTGAGCTTCTCGCCGGATCTTCTCAGTTGGTCGCGTTTCCGATCCGGTAGTAGATTCTGCGAAGCGCTGCTCTTGCTAGCGCCAGTGTTAGCTTCACTCCGGTTTGAGCCCCGTGAACTCACCTACTAGTTAAGTTTACGCTGAAAAAGCCTCTCAAGGTATATTGACACAGTCAACTCTATCCCGGGAGAATTGAACGGTAATACGCTCTGCCACAATTTTCGTGTTGGACCCAAAATGAATAGCGGTTCTACTGTTCTTTACTGGTGGTAGGACGTCTTGTGAGTCCGCACGGGCTGGTACCACCACCCTGTCTATTTCTGCCGCTAAGCAGTAATGCGTTTTCGATTTGAAGGGTGGGGTAGCCGTTGTAACTATACTGAGGCCTTCAAACTTATATCTAAAGGTGGGTGGCGCATTTACATTGTAGATGTCTCTATGGGCTCCAGTAACCACTGAAAACCAAGTGGGCTGTGAGCTCGTCCGTCAATCTAAGCAACAAAAAAAAACTCTGGTATTGTAGTTAGGGGTCATTGATTTCTTCTTCTTCTTCGTCGCTTCCTCATTACTGAGGGTCGTGACCACCTTGGTCTAGTTTTTGCAGCAAGTTCCTCCAATGTTGCCTGCATTCGGCCTGCTTAATGCCGCCCGGGACGCTGGTGTTTGTGGCCTCTTTGACAATGTCCGTCCACCTGGTTGGCGATCTTCCTCGACTTCTCTTTCCTTCCACGTGATTTAGCGTTCCCATTAATGTCCAGATGCCAGAGCAATTGGTTCCGCTGCACGTATGGCGCTTGCGTGGATGGCACGGCGCCCTGCAACGGAATCCAAGAGTGCGCCGACAACTCTGATGAGCTGCTGCCTCAATGTCGGGGGAATGAGGTCGCGGACGCGACGAACTTGAGGTATGACTAACGTGACCATGCTTTTTTTGTGTCAAAGCGGGACGCCTACGGAAGTTCGTATATAAATAAATAAATATATAGGGTACGTCGGAGTGAGACGTAATATTTAAGAGCAAAGTAAAAAATATGGCTTAAAAAATGACTTGAAATAATTTATTATGGTATCGAAGTTATTATTATGGTACATATAACACGCCCGGTGCATTCGTGTTGAGCGATGATAGACCGGTGTTCGAATCTTAAGCGGGTACCAATTTTTCTAACAGAAACGTACTCAACAAATGTTCACGATTGACTTCCACGGTGAAGGAATAACATCGTGTAATAAAAATAAAATCCGCAAAGTTATATTTTGCGTAATTACTGGCGGTAGGACCTCTTGTGAGTCCGCACGAGTAGATACCACCGCCCTGCTTAATTCTGCCGTGAAGCAGTAATGCGTTTCGGGTTGAAGGGTGGAGCAGCCGTTGTAACTATACTTGAGACCTTAGATCTTATATCTCAAGGTGAGTGGTGCATTTACGTTGTGAATGTCTATGGGCTCCACCCATCTAAGGAATTAAAAAAAAAAAAAGAAAAATCGTCACAGCGTTTTTGATCCGGCGGTAGATTCTGCGAAGCACCGCTCTTGCTAGGGCCAGTGTTAGCAACGTCGTCAGGTTACGCTGACATAGCCTCTCAAGGCTCTCTCTCAAAAGCACAATACATATAACAATTTCGTTTTATTTGGGCCCTACATCCGCAGAGATAAGTTCAAGTGTGCCGACGGTAACGTTATACCGGCCACCGCGTTCTGTGACGGCGTAGCCGACTGCCCGGACGGGTCTGACGAGACGGTCCAGGCGTGCGCGGGCAGGACGTGCCCGGCGTACTTGTTCCAGTGCGCGTATGGAGCTTGCGTAGACGCCGGATCAGACTGTAACGGGGTGAGCATTTTGTTAACTCCTCAAATCATCTTTGAATAAAGAACTGGTGGTAGGACTTCTTGTGAGTCCGCACGGGTAGATACCAACACCCCGCCTATTTCTGCCGTGAAGCAGTAATGCGTTTCGGTTTGAAGCGCGGGGCAGTTGTTTTAACTGTACCGAGACCGTAGAACTTATATCTCAAGGTGGGAGGCGCATTTGCGTTGTAGATGTCTATGGGATCCAGTAACCACTTAGCACCAGGTGGGCTGTGAGCTCGTCCACCCATCTAAGCAAAAACAAAATAAAATTTTCAAATTGCGACCCGCCTTCGCTTCGCTTCGGAAACATTCAATTATTTTATTATTGATAGTTGAGTCCCGCGATGTTAGCCGCGGTTATTGACATACCGCGGCTAACGCCGCGGGACGAATCTATTCTAAACAAAGTATCCTAAATTACTCCTTATATCATCCAGCTACCTATCAGTGAAAGTCTCGTCGAAATCGGTCCAACCCGTTCTAGAGATTAGCCGGAACAAACAGACAGACAGACAAAATTGTAAAAATGTTATTTTGGTGTATGTACCGTATATATATTCATATGCATGTAGCAAAAAGCGGTTATTTCAATATTACAAACAGACGCTCCAATTTTATTTATATGTATAGATAATGAACAAGTGTAAAGCCTGGTCCGTGCCATCTAACCATCGGAGTTTGGGCCCGCCACGACTTCTACGACCGTCCGGTTTGCCCTAAATCTTGCCGTGATAAAAATCGTCACGTAACGAAAAATCTTTATGTCTCTACTACGCGACTTCCTCTCACTCTCTCTATACCTTTTAATGTTAGCTGCCAACATAGCGCTATCGGTAGTGTCCATTGCACTCTACCCCCTTCACCCTCCCCACTCCTCCGCACCCCTCCACTCTAAGTAGTACTCTACTGGACTCTGCCTACAGCACGCAATGATTAATTTCTCATTCTCGATCCTGCGGACAGAATGGAAAGCAGTCGACGTCGCCCTAAGCACGTCATTACGGATCCTCGCGATCCATTAACGCTGCTTTTAGGTACCAAAAGCACCGGTCATCGTTCTCGTCGAACCCGTCGCTTGCGACGAAGGACTCGACGAGTAAATTAACCCACAGACACAGCCCACTGTTTCTCGCCGGGTCTTCTCAGTGGGTCGCGTTTCCTATCCGGCGGTAGATTCTGCGAAACACGGCTCTTGCTAGGGTTCGTGTTAGCAACGTCGTCAGGTATGAGCCCCGTCAGCTCAACTACTAGTTAAGGTTACGCTGAAATAGCCTCTCAAGGCTATCAGCTTAGCAATAATAAAAAAAGATCTCTTTATTTTACAGATAAAAGAATGCGCTGACGGCTCGGATGAGTCGGACGAGCTCTGTGACAGAGTCCTGTCCGGGAAGCCGACGCAAAAGTAGGTGTTGCCTTATTATAAACAGCCTAGGTCTACGGAGGGACTTCGGTTCTCTCTGTCTTTTATACCGTATGTTCCATGGGGAATGCTCTGAGGAATTATTCGAGATGATCCCCTCATCTCCTTTTGATCCTTGAGAGGCTATGCCAGCGTAACCTTAACGTGTAGGTGAGCTCTCAGGGCTCAAACCTGGAGGCGTTGCTATCACTAGCCCTAGCAAGAGCAGTGCTTTGAAGAATCTACCACCGGATTGGAAACGCGACCCACTGAAAAGATGCGGCTTGAAACTCACAGACATCTACAACGTAAATTCTGCCACCCACCTTGAGATATGAGTTTCAACGTCTCAGTATAGTTACAACGGCTGCCCCACCCTTCAAACCGAAACGCATTACTGCTTCACGGCAGAAACAGGCAGGGCGGTGGTACCTACCCGTGCTACTCACAAGACGTCCTACCACCAGTAATTACGCAAATTATAATTTTGCGGGTTTGATTTTTACTACACGGCATGATACCGTCGTGATGTTCACAGGCCTTCAGCATCAGGCGGATGCGTCCTGCCCCAGTACCCAGCTCACGGCTCGTACGTGGTCCTGAACACGCCGAACGCTACTCCCGGCCAGACCTTCGACTCGATCCAAGTGAACGTGACCTGCAAGCCGGGGTACGGCGTCATGGGCAGGAACGACGTCTTCTGCTTGAACGGGTGGTGGTCGGATAAGCTGCCTCAGTGCGTCCGTGAGTATTCTAGTTGCTGCCCCTAACTACCACGCCGAGACATTACTGTGGTGATCAATGGTATAGTAGTAAAGTCCATTCTAGTAGTAAGTTCCATTCTAGTAGTAAAGTCAATTCTGGTAGTAAAGACCATTCTAGTAGTAAAGTAAATTCTAGTAGTAAAGTCAATTGTAGTCGTAATGTCAATTTTAGTAGTAAATTCCATCCTAGTAGTTAATTCCATTCTAGTAGTAAAGTTCATTATAGTACTAAAGTCCATTCTAATATCGACCGACTCGGTCTCGCAGTAGTTAGTGCCTCACATCACTGGCTGAGGGCTGTAGGTTTCCCGCATAGAGCAAACATTCGTTTTATGAACAGTCCTTCTTCAAACGATGCTTGTGGAGAGTATTAAGCGGTAGGCAGCGGCTTGGCTCTGCCCCTGGCATTGCTGAAGTCCATGGGCGACGGTAACCACTCACCATCAGGTGGGTCGTATGCTCGTCTGCCTACAAGGGCAATAAAAAAATAAAATAAAACATACGTCTGAAGCTAATAAAAAGCGTATTAAAAAATACCCATCCACCCCCCTTTTTTGAAATTCGGTTATGAAATTTAATCCAGAACCTTCTCCCGTAGGTTTCTGCACGCTCAACAGTCACGCTAGCGTCGAGTACAAATGTCTGCTCACCAACGGTAACGAGGGTACCAGACCCTGCGGCTCCCTGGAACCGACCGGCACAATAGTCCAGCCGCAATGCAGGTCCCCCAACTACTACTCGACCGTGCCGCTCGGCTACATGCGGTGCATCGAGGGGAACTGGGACTACGTGGCCACATGCACTCCAGGTTTGTCCAGAAACGGTACAAACGTGACTGTACTAATAAGAGATAAAGTCGAAATTTACATAAGCAATCTGGAGTATACGGTCAGCGTCGGGGCCGGTATTGGCAAAGGTGATGATAGCAAAGGTGACAACGGTGATGTTATTGGCAAAGGCGATGGCAAAGGCGACGAGAATGATCACGAATTTGATATAGACGAGGGAGATTGGAGGATCGCCCCCGCTAAAGTAAATAAGAAAGTTAAGCCCCTTATGGTAGACTTTGTTAATTCAACGAAAGATAAAATATATTTTAGAGATTAATACAATTCGATAGGTGAAAGCTGTTGTTTGGTTTAAGCGGCCTTTTTGCGAGTTTGTATAAGAGCCATTTAAAGTTTAAAATTTGGAAAATATATCTATATATATAAATGAATTGCTGTTCGTTAGTCTCGCTAAAACGGCTGGACCGATTTGGCTAATTTTGCTCTTGAATTATTTGTGGAAGTCCAGAGAAGGTTTAAAAGGTAGATAAATATGAAAATGCTCGGAATTAAATAAAAATAACACAATTTTGTTTTTCCTATGATATGTCCCCCGTCGGATGGATTCCTTTTGTTTGTTTTAGGTTTATTTTATACAAAAATTTAGGTCTTTTATTTGTCGATTGAGGCACTACGAACTCTGTCGGGTCAGATAGCCGTTAACAAAAAAAAAGGTTCTTTAGCTATTCGAATGGATACCGAGACGGCTGACGTTCTAGAGCCTTCGATTCGCCTCGAAGGCTCTAGAACGTCTGTCGGCTGGGCGTCCTTGGGATGAGCTACGCTGTCTGGTCGTAGTGTTGACCGCGGCAACCCTCTTACCTCATCCGGGTTCTGACCTCGGAGGGGATCGGACGCTTGGGGGAAGAGTGCAGGGGAGTCGTTTAGTGGGTAGAGATCCTTGAAAAAAACCTTGGGCCCGCGGTCTCGCAGTCGCGAACCCGCGCGCCCCCTAGACGCGGGGACCTCGTAGGAGGTTCGATCCCCCCCCCCCCGTACCGAAAAAAAGCTATTCGGATTATTCGAATGGACTAAACTTAATTTAAGTTTATTTTACCACCAAATAAAAAGCTCCTTTAATTACAAAGAGAAATGTTGCTTAAACCAAATAGCCTCGAAATAATTTTCTATATTTAATGGTGTAAGGAAATCGTAGGTAAGACGCGAAAGACGTGCTGATAGCATCTGAGACGTTAACGGCCTAAATTAGCGCGGATCTGGCAGCGAGCAATGTAATAAGTTTAAATTTAGCCAGCGCGAGGTCAACGCACTCGTGTGACTTCAACTACCGTTGCGGGTTCTTGAATTACGAAGCAATAAGTACATATAAGGGCAAACGAATATTTTTACGTTAAATATTAGCTAATTTGTTTTAAGAACGGATTGCTTACAACAGAATATAATAATAAAAACATACTATTAAAATTAATTAATACATATTCTTCCTAATTCTCGCCAAAGAATACAACAGTATTGAATATTTTTTTTAGTTAAATAAATACTGTTTCAACACAATACGTACTCTGTATCAGAAAGTTACTATTATTGTATACTAAAATGTAATATTTACAAAAAAAAAAGGTAACATCTATGTAATAAATAGTAAATCATATATTTAGGTTGCCATCTCTAAAATCTCGAGTACTTTTAAGTTTCTATGGTCGAGGCTTACCGAAGATAATTTTGTCTTACGATATTTTATTTGTGCTATGAAAATAATCTAATTTTGTTGATAGACGTCATTGTTGCTTGATATCCCTATCTCTCTCTAACGAGAACGTTAGAATAGGATGAATTATATTTCCTTTAATTAAATTAGTGGTCGCCCGATAAGCGAAATTCGACTATAATTAATTGAAATTATAAGTTTGTACACTATTACGATTCTGTTTTCAAAGACTATTATAATTCCATAATCACAAATTTCGCCAAGACTACACTATAGAAAAATATTAATAAAGACAAACAATATTTAATCTATTTTCAATTTGACCAGACGTCATGAACAAATGTTTGACAATAAATAAATAGTATGCATTCGTGTGTGCGTCAAATACATGGTAGTGTGTGTAATGTTTTCTTTATTGATTTAATGTATCTTTTATGCATTATTTATAAAAAATATTAGCATTGTGCACTCCTTCTCTATGTTCTCTATAAGTGTGAGAAAATTCATACTCCTCCGCCCGCGCAATTTCCGTAAAAAGGGATACAAAGTTTTTGCTTCACGTATTAATTTAATTAAATAATTAAGGCGCGCTTCGGAAACAATCCGGACATACAGATTTATTTGATATGTTTTATTACTAAAACTTACTGACATAATATCAAATATTTTGCATTTATTACTGTAAATTTTGTATAAAATAAGACCAGACCTAGAAAGGAAACTCTGAACGCTTAAATCCGTTTGACATTTGTTTTTTTTTTAATAAAATTTCTTACGGACACGGTAACTCGAAGTTTTAGCTCATTACTTTCACAACCACTCTGTAAATAGTGGGGATTTTAAAAAGAAATTTTAAAATAATCCAATGTTGTCAATCTAAAGCTATATTAAAACAATGTTGTTTATTTAAACAAATCAGTGAGCTCTTGGTCACAAAAGCTAAAGAATACATTCCCTTTAATCAGATGTCCTGCGTAGATAAGTTGTGTCTGATTTAGCAAATAAGCCAATGTTGCCAGTGCCAAAACATAGTCAGTTTTAATTGAACGTTATAAAATTATTAATATCGATTTATCGATTTTTGTACTCGTCCTGTTTTTACTAAAAGGATATTTATTTTTAAAAATTATTAATTTAATTACCTACTTAACACAGTAGTCGACTCTTTTTGGTTATTACTAGAATTATTTATTAATTAAATGATAATAGGATGGATTGTGTTTGTATAACTTAATGACATTGTATTTATTCGTTTTGAATTAAAAATTAAAAAGAAAAAAACGTTGTTTTTTTTATTTTTATTATTTTGATTTAATTTTGTTACCTCACCCTCCATCCTCTTAACATTTCGTAATTTTAAGTGACTAATTTTAAATGAATCGTTTGAAAGCTATTGTTTTGTTTTAACGTAAAAGTAATATATATATATATTTTTTATTTTTTTATTGCTTATATGGATGGACGAGCTCACAGCCCACCTGGTGTTAAGTGGTAACTGGAGCCCATAGACATCTGCAACGTCAATGTGCCACCCATCTTGAGGTGCTTACTGCTTCACGGCAGAAATAGGCAGGGCGGTGGTACCTACCCGCGCGGACTCTAAAAACGTCCTAAAACCAGTAATTACGCAAATTATAATTTTGCGGGTATTTGATTTTTATTACACGATGTTATTCCTTCACCGTGGAAGTCAATCGTGAACATTTGTCGTGTACGTATTTCATTAGAAAAATTGGGCGATAACGCCCCCTTGTGAGCACTGCAGGCCTAAAAGGGGGCGGTAAGAGACGTAGAAAAAAATGGGAGTGTTATGTAGAGGCTTGGGAGGCGATTTGTAATTTCATCTAGGAGGACTCTTTAGACACGGACTGAGCTCTTGCTATAGTGGTTTTTAGCTGAAGAAATGGGAGCGGTAAAAATAATTTATTCTCAAAGTGGGCTGTAGAAAAAATAAGCTTGGGAACCCTTGCTGTAACTATACTGATTGCATGAATGTGTGGATGAGCTCACAGTGCACCTGGTGTCAAGTTGTTACCGGAGCCCATAGACATCTACAACGTAAACGCCGCCACCCATCTTGAGATAAGAGTCCTAAGGTCTCAGTACAGTTACAACGGGTGCCCCACCCTTCAAACCGAAACGCATTACTACTTCACGGCAGAAATAGGCAGCGCGGTGGTACCTACCCGTGCGGACTCACAAGACGTCCTACCACCAGTAAGATTGTCGAAGGCTGGATTGTCGATTGGGTAAAGGCTAAATAGATGTTCGCTGCAGAATTAGTCACGCAATTTTCAAATATAAACCGCTACTAAGGAAACGAACCGAAAATGGCGTCTATGTACCTGCACTGACAGATGGTAGGGTCAACAAATAAAAAGAACGATAGAAAGAAAATATAATAATAATATAATAGGACTTTTCCTCGTTTGTGAGAGGCCATATTATTTACCACACGTGACACAAAAAAAAACGATAACAATAACAAATTTAACAAAAACAACAAAATAACGAACAAATGCAACGAAAAACAACAGAATTTGACAGAAAACAAAACAGAGCGCGTCAAGACATTGTAAGAACAAAGCCAGAACTGATATTTTTTTTGCATTCAGTACGCGCCGTGTGCGACTAAAGACAGCAATAGCTTAGAGTGAGAGCGCATGATAGCCGCCACCATTTTATGGCTCCTCTTCACAATCGGCCATGATGGACCAACAAATGATCATCCATCATCGCCGCCATGATCGGGCAACTCTCCACACAATCGTCAACGTTCATTTACTGAATGTCTACTGATATGTTAAGACGCCTAGGTATCGATGATGGAAATCGAGGAGATCATGGCTGCGGCAATATTTTTAGTTAGCTCATTATTGTGCGCGAAAAAAGAATCGTGAAAACTTTTTTTTTATTGCCATATACCACAGAGGTATAGACGAACATACGACCTACCTGATGGTGAGTAGTTACCGTCGCCCATGGACTTCAGCAATGCTAGGAACAGAGCCAAGCCACTGCCTACCGATAATGATAAACAAGATGGAGGAATTGATAATGGTGGGTGGGTGCCAATCAATCGGAACAAAACAAGGTCCACGCAACCATAGTTTTGTAGTCGACACAATTGACACACAATTGAGATAACTACATCCTGAGTAATCGGCGATGGCGTGGACGCTCACACAATCATGGTGGGCCATCATTCTTTTGATCTACCGACACAACACCGATTGCGCACGATCATACGCGATGATGGCCGATCACAGACATTTATGCCCTCTACACTATCGTGAGTCACGTCCTTACGGATCCATCAGATAACCTTTGCATTAGACGCCTTCAGCTCTAACACTAGGAGCAGGTTTAGGGACCCCGGTAACCGTACTCGTCGAACTCGACAGTGAGGTCGACGTGCAACCTAACCCATGCATCAGCCCGTTGAGTTTCTCGCCGGATCTGCTCAGCGGGTCGCGATTCCGATCCGGTAGTAGATTCATTCGCGAAGCAATTGCTCTTGAGTTGATAGGTCTCCTTCGGAGGCGCTCGGGCAGTTGTTAGCAAATCCCACCCCTCCTGGCTGAGCCTTTGCTGGTCCACCAGTCCCGGTGAAACTGGAAAGGCCTTAGGGCCACCAGTAATATTTCAATCATAAAACAAAAACTATCGTGTGTTTCTATAATCGCCCATCTTGGCCAATTGTAAAGAGGAGCCATTAGATTCGTTTATTGGCGCGGCTTATACCAATGTCAATGCATTTTAGAATGCGGCAGAGTCACGCCTGACGGTGAAGAGTTGGTGTTCGGCGGGAGATCAGCGAAAAGAGGAGAACTACCCTGGCATGCTGGCATATATAGGAAGACTAGCACACCGTACATGCAGATCTGCGGTGGATCTCTCGTTAGCACCACCGTCGTCATATCAGGTGAGAATTATTACGTTTGTTTTTGTAACCGACTTCAAAAAAGGAGGAGGTTCTCAATTCGACTGTATGTTCTAATTTTTTTTTTATGTTTGTCACCTCGTAACTTTTGACTGGGCGAATCGATTTTCCTGACGCTTCCCGTGTGGTCCCATTTTTTAATTTAGTCTAGTTCTGATAATGGTATCCATGAGAAAACTATATAATTGTCTTAAATTGGCATTATTACATAATTGGCATTGGCGCGACAAATAGATGAATAACTCAATATCACGCCAACCGATTTCGATGATTATTGTTTTTAGTGTATACAAGCTGTACTCGCCCCCTTCATTGGGCATTAAAAATTAACATTATTATTTATTGTCATTATTATTAGGGAGTCCAACGCTCATATAAATATTAGCCTAATGGATAGTTGTAACGAAACATCCTTAAAAACCACTGTAGATTTATATATTACTAGCTGTACCCGTCCGCTTCGCCGGGCATTTAAAATCAACGTTATTATTTTCCACCCCCCTAAAGATTCTCATCATTAACGCCCCCGCAACTGGTGTAGGGAGTCCAACGCTCATATAAATATTAGCCTATCCATTAAGTACATGTATTTTCTACACGGATACCAAGTTTCAAGTCAATCGGATGCATGGTTCAGTAGTTATAACGGAACATCCGTAAAAACCACTGTAGATTTATATATTAGTATAGATAGTGTATATTAATCTGTTTTGGAATATCTTTTTTTTCTATTTGAAGTCGGTTTTTGTTAAAGCATGTCTATTTACATTATTATCCTGTATGTGGCGGGTAGCCATCATATATCTCAAGACATTTGACAGATGCCTGAATCTCGCTTACGACATTTTCAAGATAAGCTCGCATATACACAAGTTCCGAACAACAACATTCGGACCGTCGGTCTACCGAGCAATATCACCAGCTCGATGAAAGTTTTTTTTTATTGCTTAGGTGGGTGGACGAGCTCACGGCCCACCCGGGTATTAAGTGGTGACCGGAGCCCATAGACACCTGCGACGTAAATGCTAAACCTACCTCGAGACATAAGTTCTAAAGTCTCAGTATCGTTATGAAACGCATTACTGCTTCACGGCAGAAATAGGCAGGGCGGTGGTACCTACCCGCGCGGACTCTAAAAACGTCCTACCACCAGTAATTACGCAAATTATAATTTTGCGGGTGTTTGATTTTTATCACACGATGTATTCCTTCACCGTGGAAGTCAATCGTGAACATTTGTTGAGTACGTATTTCATTAGAAAAATTGTTACCCGCCAGCGGGATTCGAACACCGTTACGTCGTCGCTAGATACGAATGCACCGAACGTCTTATCCATTAGGCCACGACGACTTGTAAGTCTTGTTTGTTGAGACAGTACCCAATAATTACAGCCGCTCACTGCTTCTGGAGCAACCTCAACCAGCAGCTACCCACAACTGACTATGCCGTTGCCGTCGGTAAGATTTACAGACCCTGGAACAATCCGAAGGACTTGGACGTCCAGAAATCGGATGTGAGTACTTTTTTTTTGCTCTAATAGGCAGACGAGCGTACGGCTCGTATTTGATGGTGAGTGGTTACCGTCGCCCATGGACTTCAGCAATGCCAGGGGCGGAGCCAAGCCGCTGCCTACCGGAATTGTTCGAGATGATACCGGCATCTCGTTTTTACCATCGCACTGCCCGCCACCGGAGTAGAGTTCATCCGTACTACCTGGAGCCACTGCGGTCATCCACAGTGCGTTTCCAGAGATCTTTTTTGCCACGTACCATCCGGCTATGGAATGAGCTCCCCTCCACGGTGTTCCCCGAGCGCTATGACATGTCCTTCTTCAAACGAGGCTTGTGGAGAGTATTAAGCGGTAGGCAGCGGCTTGGCTCTGCCCCTGGCATTGCTGAAGTCCATGGGCAACGGTAACCACTCACCATCAGGTGGGCCGTATGCTCGTATGCCTACAAGGGCAATAAAAAAAAAAATGTGTGCGTGTACTAGTGTACACACGTAAGAAGTGAAACTTCTTTATGGCCTTATTTTTCGAAAAATGATCTACATGCAACTTTCTAGAAATTGGTTAAATAAAGTTAAATTAGATAAAGTTTAAACAAAAGGATTTTATTATCATAGACATGAATACAAAAAAGTTAAATTAGATAAAGTTTAAACAAAAGGATTTTATTATCATAGACATGAATACAAAAAAGATGGCGCGTAACGGAAAAATGTGACGCGTAACCGAAAAATGTGACGGTAAATTTTTTTCACTTCAAAAAAAAGCACTCTCCATAAGCCTCGTTTGAAGAAAATAGTTATGAGCACTTATGTTTCTTAAGTGTAGGTTTTTTTTTATTGCCCTTGTAGGCAGACGAGCATACGGCCCTTACCTTTTTTTTTTGTTTTTTTTTTTTTCGGTTAGAGGGCCGCACCTCCTACGAGGTCCCCGCGCAAAAGGGGCGCGCGGGGTATGTGAGACTCAACGGTCTGCATGGTGTTGTGAGCAGACCGCGGGCCCAAGGATTTTAGGGATACGGCCCGTACCTGATGGTGAGTGGGTACCGTCGCCCATGGACTGCAGCAATGCCAGGGGCGGAGCCAAGCCACTGCTTAACGAAAAAGAAGATCAAGCCAAAGTATATGCGAATTTTAGGAATAGACAGCTTATTGAATCACGGTACACACCCTGGCGGCCTTATACATTTTTTTGTGCTTGAAGACATTGAATTATAATTGACTGTCCCGTAATTCGAGTTTGGTACTGGTCTTAAATCAGCTCCACCACATCTATTACCGTTTGTTTAGTGCAAACCGAATGATTCTTCAGCCGAATTCTTTGAGCATTTCACCAGCGCATTGAGATCGCAAACCGGAATTTCCTAATGATGGCACAGTCCTATTACTACCATGAAGCAATCAAAACTTGCGATTGCAATACCGGTCAGAGCTCGACGAGTAAATTAACCCACAGACACAGCCCACTGAGTTATTTCGCCGGATCTTCTCAGTGGGTCGCGTTCCGATCCGGTGGTAGATTCTGCGAAGCACGGCTCTTGCTAGGGTTCGTGTTAGCAACGTCGTCAGGTTTGAGCCCCGTGAGCTCACCTACTAGTTAAGGTTACGCTGAAATAGCCTCTGAAGGCTATCAGAATAGGTAAGAAAAAAAAAACATCAAACTTGACTTACAGAATTTGGTAGGCAGCGGCTTGGCTCTGCCCCTGGCATTGCTGAAGTCCATGGGCGACGGTAACCACTCGACTCCGGCTTTTTCAGAGAAAAGAGGAAGACTGAAGTCCTCCTCTTCCAATTAGAATTACAAATTAGAACCTAGCAAAAAAAAACTACAGCATCGCCATAACGGAACCATTGGTACTAGGTAAAAAAGAGCTATCTCATCTGTTGCGTAGTAATCTCTAATCTCAAACCAGCTTTCGATACAACACACAATTTGTGGCGTGGGCTTAATTTGGGTCTGTTTGGCCAATACGAATTGTCTGGTCCAGGTGAGGGATATAAAAATCCCGATAAGATTCCAAGGGAGGACGGCGAACTTTCAAGAGGACATAGCGATCGTGATACTGGCGACAAGGATCGAGTACCGCACCTACGTCAGGCCGGCCTGTCTGGACTTCGACATCAGCTTTGAGAGGCAGCAGCTACAAGACGGGAAACCGGGCAAGGTATGTGGTTTTTTTTTATTGCATAGATGTGTGGGGGAGCTCACAGCCCACCTGTTGTTAAGTGGTTACTGGAGCCCATAGACATCTACAGCGTAAATGCGCCACCCACCTTGAGATATACGTCCTAAGGTCTCAAGTATAGTTACAACGGCTGCCCCACCCTTCAAACCGAAACGCATTACTGCTTCACGGCAGAAAGAGGCAGGGCGGTGGTACCTACCCGCGCGGACTCACAAGAGGTCCATTCAAAAAACCAGTAAAAAAACTTCGAGAGACTTCGATCCCAAGGTCACAACTCACATCTTCAAATTCAGGTGGCCGGTTGGGGTTTGACTTCGGAAAACGGCAACGCCTCGCAAATACTGAAAGTCGTTGATTTGCCATACATCGACATAGATAGGTGCATCGGCATGGCGCCTCCCGGCTTCAGGGAGTACATCAATGGCGACAAGATCTGCGCTGGCGACGGAGAAGGTAATTAGGTTTTTTGTTTAACAAACTCTTCGCTTGGCTAGTTAGTGTTTAGTTATTTTAAAGCCTCTGTAGGCAAAGGTGGTGCGGCCCATGGTCACCATCACTTGTGCACGTCAAAAACGCCAGGGTCAAAGCAAAGTCGCTGCCTCTTTTGGCAAAAGACATGTCCGAAAGCAAAGAGCGAGGGAAGTTCATTCCACATCCACATTCCACATTCAGGGCGGTACTGCCTAACTCTTTCCCTTCTATTATTTGTTAATCTATGTTTTAGTCTTTTAGGTCTCTTAGAAATAGATTCATTCTCAGTATCGTTCAGATTCGTCTTTCGCAGAGTCTACGGATATTCTGTACGCCACGTAGGGCACCGGTGACTTACATAGCAGTCAAAGGTTTAAGTTTAACGCAAAAGGAATTTAATTTGAATTGACCAAGCTTTAAGTAGGTAGTACTTTTTGTTTTAATAGATGTAATATGAACCATTAGTGATGTACGTCAAAGGATGCGACGCGTTTTTTGAATCGTTTTTTCTTTTCGAAGTGAAACTTCTTTAGGCGCGTTGTAAGTAAAATTTAACTCGGGACAGATTCGTTACGGCTAGAAAGAAAAGATACAATTTCGGACGAGCGAGAGTGAGAAAGTAGATAGAGCGTCTCGCGAACCATTCGACCGTGGAGAGGGAGAAAGCGAGCTAGGTCGTTTCTCTTATACACAGCATTCCCTATTACAAAAGAAATTTGATTTAATGATGAAAAATGAAGAAAACTACAATACTGCAAAAGAAGTTTCACTTCTTTCACGTGCACCAAGTTGCACTCTTTCTTTTTTCAATACATTGCGTGTACCTAATTGCAACTTTTAAATTAAACCTCTTTTTGATTTTTTTATTCAGGCAAAGCTTTATGCAAAGGGGACAGCGGCGGGGGTCTAGCTTTTTCCACTTACGACAAGGGAGTCGAAAGATACTATTTACGCGGAATCGTGTCAACGGCTTCTACGAACGAGAATCTGTGTAACACAAACACATTCACAACATTCACACAAGTCTCGAAACACGAACATTTCATCAAGCAATATCTGCACGTGGTTCAGACTTAGCGTGCCCGCACCATAGACTATAGCTTGCACCATAGATTATACAGACTTGAACGCGCGTGGTTTGAAAAGAAAAAGTAAGCAGGGTACAGGTAAGGAGAACCGTCTCTGTTGTGAAAAAGTGTCCGTTAAAATCTGCTAAATAAGTGTGGCGCTGCAGTAGCAACCGAGTAAATTTAAAAAAAAAAGGCACTGAAAGTTTTTAAAATAAGATAGAAAAATAAAAAAAGGACGAAAAAACTGTAAGCACTACAAAATCACAAAAAGTATTTTATTTAAAGCTGATACGAAAATGCAACCGAAGTCTCCACGTTTTACCACAACAATAATTTTAGGTTGAGGAGGAGAATATTGACGAAATTAGTTTGGACTACGTAAACATGTGAGATTTTGTATATTACACTGTCACTAACTACTCTAGTCATTAAATATATTAAATTTCCGAACTCAGCATACTTCAATCAGTTAACAACTGCTCAATTCATATCATACCCTGTGCTTAAGCTAGCGTCATTCTGGAGGATTTTTGAACTGTTATTTAGTGCTGAAAGTGGGACACTTTTTCAAGTTTCTCCCATGTGAGACGGTTCTCCTTAACTCTACCCTCCATAAGAAAAAGGTTTGTTACTTTTTTCAAGAACATCGCGCGCCCTGAGTCCAACAAGTTTTGCCATTATCAAAGCCGGTCCTAACAGTATACGTAATTAAGCTAAATTGTGTATAGGTAACCCTATAACACGGTAGATACGTTCCTACCGTGTTATGCGAAACCGCGTTATATGAGACCAGAAGCCAGTACAAAAATGACAAGTAATTTTTCTGAATGAAACATCTTAACTATGCTTGGTTGTATTTTGATTACCTATTAAACATAGGACAGAAGCGGTAAAAATGCGATTATTCCCATATATTGTGTGTTCGTAGTGCATAGTGTAATTTTCTAAATATGTTTAAACAAAAATCTCGTATACGTGTTCTAGAAATACCGCGTTATAAGAGAGCATTAGGGAATTTTCTGTACGTGTTAAAGTGGAACCGTGTTGTAAAATATCGTTTTATAGAAGGTTTACCTGTATTTGTAATAGAGAATGATAGTCTTCAAAAACATTCTAACTTAAGAAGTTGCATTAATAGTTGATTAATAAAAGTATATACACATATATATTTACGTCATAATAAAATAGAAAAAGCTTCATCATTGGACACTTGAAAATGTAAGTAAGTTAATAAAAAATATACTAGATGGCGCTGGTGGTTTTATTCAATACATTGCGTAGTAGGCTAACCCTAACCCTAAACCCTTTATTAGGTTACCCTAAACACTTCATTAAGTCCTCCTGATCCATTTACGGTGCTTTTAGGTACCTTAAGCACCGGTCAATTCCTCGCCGAACCCGTCGCTTGCGACGAAGGACTCGACGAGTAAATTAACTCATAGACACAGCCCACCGTGTTTCTTGCCGGATCTTTTCAGTGGGTCAGTTTCCGATCCGGTGGTAGATTCTGCGAAGCACTGCACTTGCTAGGGCCAGTGTTAGCAGCACTCCCGGTTCGAATTCCGTGAGCTCACCTACACGTCAAGGAGAAGTTAAAATAGCCGCTCAAGGCTATCAACATAGGCAGGAGGAAAAAGTAAAAAAAAAAAGAAATTTAGTGCTACAGTTGTTATGTAGTAATGGTGGCTTATTAACTGTTTAGCATCTGAAAAACGCCTAATATTAGGAAAATGAAACAAAAAAGCTAGACACGGATTCTCGTGCTCTTCCAACAAATCCCATTGAATTTTTAAAAAGTTTTCACCATTCTCAACTTCATTCTACAATATATAATAAATTATTTAATTTCATTCAGTTCAATGGAACAGTTCAATGGTCTTCAGTCTTTGTTAAAAAAGGTTTCTTTGCTTGAATTATCTATATTCCCTTGCCTGGCTAATTTATTTTTTACCCTAACTGTACAACTTCACATCATTTCGTCGATATAATTTTCCGCTATATTAAGTTTTTTTAAATTATACCACACAATATAAAATTACGCTGTATGGTTAAATACTTTCGCCTTTCATGTTGAAAAAATGGAACTACAACTACAAAGTCAAGTGACAAGAATGTCGCCTAAAAATGACAATAAACTAAAAAGTAGAGTCATTTTAATACAATAATAAAGTTTTAAACTTTTAATAATGTGCGAATAAATATTTTTTATTCACTAATAATGTACTGCGGCTAATCAGTTAACATTAAAATGGAGGAAAATACTGTTGCAGTTGAAAAAATTGTGAAACAAAAAAGTTTTCCTAAGAATAAGTTCCTATTTTGCATCACAATAGTTTCTATCGGTGAGTTATTAGACTACATTTATAATATGTACGTTAAGCGTTGTGTAACTTCTCTAACGTAGATATCCAGAGGAACACCAGACATTCACAATGAAATAAAGTTATCCTTGTACCACAAAAAAAATGGAGAAACTCAATCTCTAGTTTGATTTTGAATGAAAACCTTCAAATTGTAAAGTTTTTCTACAATAATACACACAAACTCTATGCCGATACAATGTAGACGAAAATAATTTCTAGCTATTCATGAGAAAAATCAAGTGTGTATCTTAGTTACTTCTTTACCTCTATTATTTCTTTGCTATACTCATGAATGCTTAAGATTTGATTATCCTATCTATCCTTCCAACAGCTGAAAGGGTAGGTCAACCATGTTGTATAAATGTTCTTTACTGATGTTAGGGATTGTGCAAGCTGGCACTGGGAGGTACCGTTATTGTATAATTTCTAGATACTCCATTTATGAGTTCCAAATATTTTTTTATTGCCGTTGTAGGCAGACTTGTTCAGTTAATGGTGAGTGGTTACCATTGCCCATAGCCATAAGGAATGCCAGTGGCAGAGCTAAGCTGCTGCCCACTGTTGAATGGAATGGTACTACAGCCATTATACACAATTGAGACTGACTGTCTCAAAGTAGACTATAGTAATATTGTAAAATCTTTTTTATTTCATTTTTTTTATTGCATTCATGGGTGAAAGACCTCACGGGCCACCTGATCTTAAGTATTTACTGAAGTCCATAGACATCTACAATGCAATTGCAACCACCCACCTTGAGATATGAATTGTAAGGTCTCAGTATACTTACAACAGCTGCTCCACCGTTCAAATTGAAACGTTATTACTGCTTCATGGCAGAAATAAGGTAGGGCTATGGTACCTACCCGTGTGGACTCACAAGACATCCCACCACCAGTGGGTTCCAGTAACAACACCAGATAAGGTGTCAGCATAATTAGTATTCTTCATAGTGAAAAATCTTATTAACGTTCCCACAGCAACTCTAGTCGGCTACGTTCACTACCGCTACGTTTCCCATCTCTTTGAGAATGACAGGAACTTTGCATACCTCTCTGAGCTGGAGAGGGAGATGTCATTCCGTACCGAAATGGGTTTCTATTACTCTTATTACAAAACACTGGTTCATGAGAAGCCATTTGTAGCTGGGATATCTAAATTGATGTTCGACAAGAGTGTGGAGCATCCAAAAGAAGTCAACGCATTCAATCGATTTAATATACATCCTGAGGTGAGTGGTGTTTGTTTGTATAATTTTGTTATCTAGTTCTTATAAGAATAAGGGAACATTGTGAAATGTTTTACTGTCATAATGCCTATCACTAGAGCCAGGGCCGGATTTAGGGGAGGGCAACCTGGGCGAAAACCCCGTGATCTCCACAAACGGAGGGTCCCCACACTAAAGACTTTGGAAAAAATATCTTTCAAATTCTGAGAAAACACTAGAAAGTAAACACATAAACATTTTTTCCTTCCTCTGAAATTTAATTTCAGATAGTTCTTGCCTCCGATTGTATTTATGTATGTTTGTTAAATACCAAGAGAATTTATGTAGTTTCACAATAAATTATTTATTGCAAAATTCGACAGAAAACAATTTCATTTTATTTGGAAAATAATTTGGACCAGCGGACCTCCGCTCCTCTTTTGCCCCGAAGCCTATAGACCTCTAAATCCGACTCTGACGGGAGCAGAGATCTTTAGCTCTGGAATTGTAGAAGTCTTTTTGTTTCTCCTAGTGCTAAGAGGTGGGCTTTGACCGTGGTTGCTAATTTCATTCGTAGCAGACCGCACTTAACCTGAGATACGGCATTGCAGCTTTATTCAGTCTATTCAAGTCCCTTGCGACATGACCCGCAGTCATTGTTTTGGGCACTGCAGTCACCCACTTAAAATCCTACTCTTTAAACCAGAACATAAGACTGATTTCTGGTTGGATGATAGTTTCTACTTGAAAACTCACAATTGAGTCGACTATTATCAAAGCCGGCAATCTGACTTTTGGATAATTATTGGTAAATCAGAAAAACGAATTATTGACTTTGTATTCCATTGGCAGTCACAAAACTCTTCGGAACGACATCTTAGATAAATAACAGGTTAACTATTAACCTTTATTTAATGCAGGTTTTGAACCGTATTCTTTGAAGGAGACGATTATATTCAAATAAATCTGTATTGACATATCAATAANGGGTATACATTTTTTATTGATAACAATAAAAAAACTACATTATCAACTTCATTTTATTCACAATGATTTATCAAAAATAAATATAAATAATATACAAAGAAACAGCTATTTATGTGAATAATAATAATGACCGTCAGCATGTAGACTATACATTAGACACTATAGCCATTAATTATACTAAGACTATACATAAATAATAAAAATCTTCTGCTGTTCGTTCCAACAAGGATTGCTGCCTGATTTTTTTAATTGCAAACAAAATCTTTGTACGCCGACCAAATGATTTCAATGCTGTTTTTTTGTGGCTCACCAAATTTTATAATTGCTAAACATTTCATTACTTCTCTATTATTATTGTGTGACATTCATATTATAATATAATACAGATGTTAGATGCGTTAGTAACTGTTGCACTCATTCCATAATTTCAACAGTCTAAGTTGTTCCCATAAAAATTGATAGATGGCAGTAGTATCTCTAAAAATAAAAAGTTCGTGACAACTTTTCGTAAGAATTTTTTCCGTCTAGCCCCCTTTCACAACGCGCGATAAGGAACTTCGTTCCAATAAATCATTCATTCATTCATCCATTCATTAAAAAATAAAATAAAAAGAATGACCCTGAGCTTGTGTAAATATTTACTACTATATATACTAAAACTTTTCCAGGTATTGATTGCAGCATTGTACCGATACTTTGAGGTTTGGCTCAACACAACCGAGCACAGACAATGCCACATTATAGACAGAGGGCACGATTTGAGTCCGGTCGAGAGCTGCGTCGGCCTGGGTCAGCCGATCTACTTTTATCTTGAGGCCATCTGGTTGTTAGCCGGTTTGAATGTGACCGCATTGTTTTTACATGCTACAGCTTTGAGGTAAGTTGTGCTTTTTAAGTCCTCTTTGCTAGAGTTCACCTGAAAGACCAGTGCTACCCAAAGTTGCTACAAGAGTGGTCGAGGTTTTTTTTCTTTGCCTAAACGGATTAATGAACCCAGGATTCCCCACGGAAGTCATTCGTGAATATCACTTAAGGATTTCATAGAACGAAATCAGTATTTGCCTGCAGAATTTTAAACGCATAGTTGCACAGTTCAAAACATGTACACCAAACATTTTGTCCTTTACTTAACCTTGCTAATGTGTTTGCTAGCACCAAACAGTCATGTGTGTCTGCTGAAACTGTATACTATACTATATATAATTGGACTATATTGAATATAACGTCTTCTCAAGGCGTCAAATTCATATACATCTATGTATTTTTGAAATAAACAATATAAAATTTACTGATATTATATTTCATCCCATATTATCTGATCTCATTTCATTTATTTTCATACCAGTCGATTGATGTCTTAAATTAATCATCTTCATTTCATTTCACTCCATATTATCGTTTTTCATAAAAATAAGAATATAAATTAAAATAAGACGTGACCTAAAGGTTTTTGTTACCAGGTCATAAAATCCCTTAAAAAAACAACATATTTTTTTTATCAATACATATTATATTATTATTTATACATACAAGTACAGTCAAACCTGGGTAAGTGAGAACTGGATAAGTGAGAAAACTCTATAAGTGAGAGTTATAGCCAGGACCCGTCATTTTATTAGCGTCATTTTTCTATTAGCGAGAAACAGAAACCTCTATAAGCGACAGTCGAGCTTTATTTATTTATATTATTTAGGAGGAACAAATGACAAAACAAATTACAAATTTAACATCTGCTATTTTATGACTCATTCTTAACTTTTGTGGAACTTCCTTCCATTGTTTTTGTAATGTTTTCTCGTCAATATTGAACCCATTCTATTTCGTGGAACTAAATGATGTTGTTATTTTATCGCATTCTTATCGAATGGATACGTGTGCCTGTGTACCGTCCTGTTTGTCGGACTTACTCAGTTTAATCAATTGCGAAGGAAAGTTCTGTTCTGCATCATGCCAAAACGGAAAATTAAAGTACTGTCATTAAGTAATAAGCTTTAAATAGTGAATGCGTTTGAATCCGGAAAATCGCGAAATTAAATTCAGAGGGAGCATAAGCGAGAAACTCGGGTTAGTGAGAAACCTCTATAAGCGAGAATGAGATTGTGCTCCCTTGAACTCTCGCTTATCCAGGTTTGACTGTATATAATTCGATATTGCTGAAACGATTGGCCATGAAATTATCACAAGATCTGTAGATTGGTCTAGATCAGGGATTCTCAAACTATTTTTTTGGCAAGAAAACTCTCGATACAAAATTACTTACCAATTTCCCTTCAATTACAGAATTTTTAACACGGTTAAGTGAGTAGAGCTGCCATCATCATGCAAATAAAAAAAGTGGCATTCATAATTATTTTATATGGAGTTGGAACAGCGCCCCTAGCGGCAAACGAAGGGAAGCTGTTCCAACTCCATACAAATTTGAGTTTACTTTTACGCTATCGAGAACGTTAAAAAAAACTCGCACTAAACACACTGCTGGTAGATTGTGCAAAACATTGCTCTTGCTAGGGTTAGTGTTATAGTGCGCGCGGAAGCGCTAATCACCTTCTGAGGTATGTGGGGAGGCGAGACGAGGGAAGGTGCGATTGATAAGACGCACACGATATATTTAAGTACAGATAAATCTCATAATATCATGTTAGAAATAACGTAACGGGTAATATTGTATTTTTCTATTTCCTGATTAAACAAAATAATGCATATTCAAAAGTATTGATTATATTTCATTATTTACGATACAAAACAAATTTATAAGCAAATTGACATTTCTCAATAAGTAAATAAAAAAAAAACAGTATCACCGTGTAAAAAATTGTGCACATTGTAAATTACATGTTTCACTGGTCGTGTAATTGGTGGACCCATCTTAGGATATTTTATCTCGTGTATGTTTTGAACAAAGTGGCGAGTACAACTGAATCGTGTAAACGTCGCGGTGGTCGACGGCAGACTAAGTTAGTTTGACATTTGTCTACCTCCCCCGCCCTGCCGCTCACATACCTCAGGCGGTGACTAGCACTTCCGCGCACACTTTTGCATCGTCCTCAGGTTAGAGCCTCGTGAGCTCACTTACTCGTCCGGTTACGCTGGCATAAACCCTATAGGTTACCACCGTAGTTAGATTTTTTTTATTTTTTTTTATTGCTTGGATGGGTGGAAGAGCTCACAGCCCACCTGGTGTTAAGTGGTTACTGGAGCCCATAGACATCCACAACGTAAATGCGCCACCCACCTTGAGATATAAGTTCTAAAGTTACAACGGCTGCCCCGCCCTTCAAACCGAAACGCATTACTGCTTCACGGCAGAAATAGGCAGGGTGGTGGTACCTACCCGCGCGGACTCACAAGAGGTCCTATCACCAGTAAAATAAAATAACATAACCCTAACCAATTTACTACAGTTTTTCCATTTTTGTTTAATTTTAGTAACAGCATATTGGGAGGGATCTTCACTGTGATGCAATATTTTGCGAATCACAGCGAATGCACTAGAGTAATGTGGGCCCCGAATGAGAGGGAGAACATGGCCGGTCCCCTCCTGATCCTGCAATGCTGGCTGGTCAGCATGCAGCTAAGGGATAGAGAGAGAAAATCCACGTTTCCACTCCAGGTACTGGGCTCATCTCTTTATATATAGTTCCCGATCCATTAACGTTGCTTTTAGGCACCAAAAGCACCAGTCACCGTCCTCGCCGAACCCGTCGCTTGCGACGAAGGGCTCGACGAGTGAATTAACCCTCAGACACAGCCCACTGAGTTTCTCGCCGGATCTTCTCAGTGGGTCGCGTTTTTGATCCGGTGATAGATTCTGCGAAGCACTGCTCTTGCTAGGACCAGTGTTAGCAACACTCCGGTTTGAGCCCCGTGAGCTCACATACACACCTTAGGGTGAAGCTGAAATAGCCTCTCAAGGCTATCAGCATAGATAGGAAAATATATATATTCATTTCTGTTTTCAGATCTCGATATTTCTATTGAACTGTCTCTGCTTACTATGCTGGCAGTTCACCCAGTTCATATTCCTGACTCAGACCGCCATATTCTTCGTAATGGAACAGATAAGGGTGATCGACACGAAGACATTGTGTGTTCTCCTGCATTCACACTTCTGCGGGCTCCACACCGCTATACTCTTACTTCAGGGCAACGACATGCTAAAATCGTCCTTATACGCATCGTTCTTCGCGGTCGTTTCGGTTTACGCTCTACTCTTCAGCTCGTTCAGGCTTAAGGTCGAGAATCGCTTGGACGTGTTCGTCGAGGCGTGGCTAGTGCTGTTGAGGTTATCGATAGTGGCGTGCCTCTCGGTGTACTTGAAGAGCGCGATCGGGGATTTCTTCGAGATGAAAGATGACGGTCACGTATGGGAGCTTCTCGCCTCAAAGCTCACCGATTACAAGAGCTTTCACACTATGATCTATACTTGTTCCGAGGTTTTCGATTTTTTGCCCCTCGGCAGTTTCGTTCGTTCGGTAGGGGGCGCTTTGCTGCCGAGCGCCCTGACCGCGATCGCTTTGGCCACTAATTACACGATAAAAGAAACTCGATCGAAAATCGAACGGAAAATCGATAAGGAAATCGATGTTAATTCGGACGACGGCAGCGATAGTGGTATCGATAGTTCGGACGTTAAGACAAAGAAGTCGGGCGTTACGATAAAAGAAGAAGAAAGGGATAGCGATATCGATGAGATCAGAGACGGGTTGGTCCGTTACGTGAAGGGCTTGTCGATAGATCCCGCGGTATGTTACAATCTGATGCAGTTGGTCGCTTACGGCCTCATGGCTGGTCTGGTTATGAGGCTGAAGCTGCTATTTGTGCCTCAACTATGCATAATCTCATCGCTGCTGTTCAACACCGAGTACCACAGGTATGTTTGTTTGTCGAATTTATGTGTATGGAAAACCGCATGTATACTTGTTGACAGCTTATTGCGTATACGAGAGAACGGGCTCATGGCACGCTTGATGTTAAGCGGTTAGTGGAGTCCATGGACATCACAAAGTGACTCACCCGCCTTGAGACTTGAGGTCTATGTCTCGATTGTAGGGGAGGAAGTCGCGACCCACCTGTTATTAAGTGGTTACCGGAGCCCATAGACATCTACAAGGTAAATGCCGCCACACACCTTGAGACATGAGTGGTAAGGTCTCAGTTGTAACAATACAACGGCTTACCCTTCAAACCGAAACGCATTCGCAAATGCAAGTCGGCTAAAAATGAAATGAGATAAAATAAAATCGCAGTTAAAATGATGAGAATTTACTGCGATTTTTTTTTTTTTTTTTTATTGCCCTTATAGGCAGACGAGCATACGGCTCACCTGATGGTGAGTGGTTACCGTTGCCCATGGACTTCAGCAATGCCAGGGGCAGAACCAAGCCGCTGCCTAAAATTGCGATTGCAGTGATAAAAGTGCGATTTCAGTGGAGTTTTTGAGTGAACCCAATTATTGCACACCCTTAAAGTTTTTTTGTGTTTTTTATTGCCTTGTAGGCGGACGAGCATACGGCCCACCTGATGGTGAGTGGTTACCGTCGCCCGTGGACGTCAGCAATGCCAAGGACAGAGCCAAGCCGCTGCCTACCGTATAATGCTCTCCACAAGCCTCGCTTGAAGAAGGACATTCCATATTTAAAATCATATTTTTATTTTCATTTTCAGATACACAAAACCATATTATTTGAAATACGTAATAATCATATGCAATATATGGTCTTTGGTGAATACTATGTATTTGAATGTGACGAAGGAATTGTCGCACATAGGTAAGTGTACGATATCCAAGTTTACTGGCGGGAACCGGGGGGGTGGGGGGATGGGAGGGGGCAGCGTTCCCCAGGGGCAGATACCACATTCAACGTAGACATTCAACAAGAGCAACGCCATCTGTCGTCACATAGTAGAAACTGATATCGAAAGTTTCTTAGAATGTTCTCGATGTAGACAATAACAGTCTAGAACGTTCTTAGGGAATGTTCTGGTAAATAAATTTCGAAGCGTAACGAAAAAATGTAATATACTATCTATAGTTGAATCGACCCTTAATTGTCGTAATAATTAAATTGTTCTTTGATCGGTGTTTCGGTGAAGTGTATTTTTTATCTCATAAAATATATATATATATATAGGTTAATGTATCTGTGGGTTCCGGTGGTCGTTTAACAACAGACCGGCCGTGAGCTCGTTCGAACATGATTTTTTTTTTTTTTCTTAGATATGTGGACGAGCTCACAGCCCACCTGGTGTTAAGTGGTTACTGGAGCCCATAGACATCTACAACGTAAATGCGCCACACATCTTGAGATATAGTTCTAAGGTCTCAGTATAGTCACAACGGCTGCCCCACCCTTCAAACCGAAACGCATTACTGCTTCACAGCAGAAATAGGCGGGGTGGTGGTACCTACCCGTGCGGACTCACAAGAGGTCCTACCACCAGTAATTACGCAAATTATAATTTAGCGGGTTTGATTTTTATTGCACGATGTTATTCCTTCACCGTGGAAGTCAATCGTGAACATTTGTTGAGTACGTATTTCATTAGAAAAATTGGTACCCGCCTGCGGGATTCGAACACCGTTGCATCGCTCGATACGAATGCACCGGACTTCTTATCCTTTAGGCCACGACGACTTCAAAATTCGACTTGAAATGATGAGATGGTGGTTGAGAATGTGCTACTTTACTCTTTGTTATTTGACTATGGTACACTATTATCCTAGTACATATCTTAATCACTAGATGGCGTTAGTACGAATTCAACTATTATTTGTTTATTTATTCATGTAATAATTATATTGGCAGACTTAGTGCCTAAACGCATTGTTTACTAGTCAACCAAAGGTAGGGCTGAGTAAATATTGGTAGATGCAATGAAATATATATTAAATTACAAATACATACGCAAAAATATATACTTAGCATATAGCGTAAATAAATATGCATAATAATATATACACAAACACATATACACATTTTGATATTGATAAATATATCCTAAGATATGTTTGAGGAAGTCTAAAAGTGGCACCTGTGACAGATAAGTTGAGGAGTCCGCGTTTGGGATGGTATGGACATGTGATGAGACGAAATGAAAATGAGGTTGGTAAGAGTGTCAACTATGAATGTGGAAGGCTTTAGAGGAAGAGGTAGACCTAAGAAGAAACGGATGGATTGCGTGAAAGACGATATTTGTAAGAGGGGAGTGAGCGAAGAAATGGTATATGATAGAAGAGTATGGAAGGAGAAAACATGTTGCGTCGATCCCAGGTGACTGGGAGAAGGGCAGGAGAATTATAGTAATGTTGATATGAAACATATTCTAAAATACGCTTTTATAGAAAATCCAACTAAAGAATAGAAAACAAATAATAATAAATTTGAATTAAAAGTAGTGTAAGAAAAAATGATTTTATTGTAAAAAAAAGCGTGGGGTGTTTTCAGGATATTATCAAAACAACCCTTCCACTCATATCTGTTCATAAAATATTTATAACTACTGATACCATGTACTGCATACGTCTGAAGCTAATAAAAGCGTATTAATTATACGTCACGTATCAAGATGTAATCTATACTAGTATATAAATCTACAATGGTTATTACGGATGTTCCGTTATAACTACTGAACCATGCATCCGATTGACTTGAAACTAGGTATCCATGTAGAAAATACATGCACTTAATGGATAGGCTAATAATTTTATATGAGTGTTGGACTCCCTAATAATAATGACAATAAATAATAATGTTAATTTTTGATGCCCAGCGAAACGGGCGAGTACGGCTAGTACATTATATACGTGTTATTTCAACGGTTTTTGCGGCGCACGCCAGAATAGCTCGCAGATGGCAGATTTTTTCCAACTTACTTGACGCTTATCGCTATTCTTTTGTGTAATTCACACTGTATCTTTATAAATTATAACGTACATGTTATTCTGATGTGTCAGCTGCATTATTTTATGGTTTCATCAAAATCCATTCAGTAGTTTTTGCGTGAAAAAGTAAAACAAACATACAACCTGACATTCTTAAAAACTTTCTTGTTTATAATATTAGTAGTAGAAACTAGGATTTAGCACTCGATAAAAGAGCTAATACTCGATAAATGTTTATATGAGTGTTGGACTCCCTAATAATAATGACAATAAATAATAATGTTAATTTTTAATGTCCAGCGAAGCGGGCGAGTACGGCTAGTGTCATATAATATTATATTAAAGGTGAATTCAGTGATCCGCCCTTAGAGGAGTTGCTGAATTGGATAATGAGGGAGACGGCGCCGAGCGCGGCGTTCGCGGGCTCGATGCCGCTGCTAGCGACAGTGCTGCTGTCCACACGCCGACCCGTGGTCGCGCACCCGCACTACGAACACTACGAGGCCAGGTCAGTGGATAACACAGGCGGTGACAACTAGAGCCATCTATTGGCCAAGGGTGATATTAACGACAAAGTGACAACTAACGCCATCTAGTAGCGAGTCAATGAACGGTCGAGAAGGCTCTGCTCTGAAGGGTAAGGAGAACCGTCTCATGTGGGAGAATCTTGAAAAAGTGTCCCACTTATAGCACTAAATAACAGTTCAAAAATCCTCCAGAATGGCGCTAGCATAAGCACAGGATGTGATATGAATTGAGCAGTTGTTAACTGATTGAAGTTTGCTGAGTTAGGAAATTGAATATATTTAATGACTAGAGTAGTTAGTCACAGTGTAATGTACAAAACCTCACATGTTTACGTAGTCCCAAACTAATTTCGTCAATATAATCTAAAACTATTGCTGTGGAGACATCGATTGCATTTTCTTATCAGCTTTAAATAAAATGCTTTTTGTGATTTTGTAATGCTTACTGTTATAAAAGTTCTTTCGTTCTTTTTTATTTCTCTATCTTATTCTAATAACTTTCAGCGCCTTTTTTAAAATTTACCCGGTTGCTACTGCAGCGCCACCTTTATTTAGCAGATTTTAACGGACACTTTTTCACACAGAGACGGTTCTCCTTACCTCTACCCTCCACAGGTAGAGGTCAGGAGCGCCATCTTGTATAGGGGATAAGTCGAAATAATCTCCGCCTGTTAACAGCGAGTTATTGCTGGAAGACTCACCGAAATATCGCTAGTGTAGGAAGTGGAAATGATATGAATATAGCGGTTTGGGGAATTAACGACGCAGGGAAAGATTTTCCACCGAGCGGGTGCTATTTCTCGGTGCATTGCTGCTTCTTATAGAAGCTTACGTGTGTGGGTAGGTCATAAAGTTAACGTAATCCATTGCTGGCTTATAATTTTTATAGTGGTTTGCAGATTTTATATTTTTTTATTATCTCTTAGATGGGTAGATGGGCTCACAGCCAACCTGGTGTTAAGTGGTTACCGGAGCCCATGGACATCTACAAGGTAAATTCCGAAACCCACCTTGAGATATGAGCTCTAAGGTCTCAGTATAGTTACAACGGCTGCGCCGCCCTTCAAACCGAAACGCATTATTGCTTCACGGCAGAAATAGGCAGGGTGGTACCTACCCGTGCGGACTCACAAGAGGTCCTACCACCGTTAATTACGCAAATTATAATATTGCGCGTTTTGATTTTTGTTACACGATGTTATTCCTTCACCGTGGAAGTCAATCGTGAACATTTGCCAAGTACGTATTTCATTAGAAAAATTGGTACCCGCCTGCGGGATTCGAACACCGGTGCATCGCTACACACGAACGCACCGGTGTCTTATCCTTTAGGCCGCTACGACTTCAAGCCTTTTACGCAATCCAAGGGGTGTGACGTCACAGACGACTGCTTCATATGCGGTTTTTAACCAATCGTATTTCGCTTCTCAGAGAACGCGCGTATTCTGTCTATAAAATGTACGGGCGTTTCTCGGCCGAGGAGATCTATGAGGAGCTGAATAAATTGAAAGCGACATATGTCGTTGTGGAAACAAAATACTGCTACGGAAGGAGCAAGTTAGTGCGCCGATATATTATATAAATATATATATGTATATATATATAATATATATATTATACATATCATACATACATACGAGTATACATATCGACGCTTGTAAGGCAAACGTGACTAAGCGACAATGCGTGAACTTTACAGTAGACTAACTTAAAGTTGAAATACCTGAAAACAAAATTTATTTTAAAGAATCTAGCTGTATTAGAATCTAGCTAGTAGCTGTAGGATTGAAATGATTTTAATAGGCCTAGAAATATATTTTTTTCGCGCATCGAATATGGTTATTGCCTATCATTTATGTACAAAGCAGTTATTGTCGCTTAGTCACGTTTGCCTTTCAAGCGTCGATATGTATCGAGGGATGAAAGAATGTGTGGTTTAGGCAACTAATTTGCAACTATACAGGAGAGCCAATTAGAGTTTAAAATTATGGAGTGAAAATCGCATAAGAAAAAATACTTGTTTAGCTATTTAAGTGGAGTAAGCTTAATTGAAATTCAATTACAAAATATCGAGTTATCGATTCTAAAATATCAAGTAAAATGCACCTTTAATTACATAGATAAATGTCGCTTACAAACAAAATATCCTTTCACCCCTCGATATATGTATGTATAACTTAAAGCCTATCAGTGTGGTTAGTGCGAGTTTTTTAACGTTCTCGATAGCGTAAAAGTTAACTCAAATTTGTATCGAGTTTGAACAGCGCCCCTAGCGGCAAACGTAGGCGAACTTTCCAACTTTGAGTAAACTCGCACTAAGCACACTAATTATTATTATTACTAGCGACCCGCCCTCGCTTCGCTTCGGAAACTGTAATTTATTATTGATTTCTCCACTATTTAATGGATGTTATGATACATATAAACCTTCCTCTTCAATCACTCTATATATTAAAAAAACCGCATCAAAATCCGTTGCGTAGTTTTAAAGATTTAAGCATACATAAGGATATAGGGACAGAGAGAGCGACTTTGTTTTATACTATGTAGTGATTACAAACAGACACTCCAATTTTAATTATATGTATAGATAAATGAATAACAATTTTCAACTTTCTATCTCTGTTGCTGTGTAAAATTGGGTTTCTCATGTTTTTGTTTTTATTTTTTATTGCATTGATGCATGGACGAGCTCACAGCCCACCTGCTGTTAAGTGGTTGCTGGAGCCCATAGTTATCTACAACGTAAATGCGCCACACACCTTGAGATATAAGTTTTAAGATCTCAAGTATAGTTACAACGGCTGCTCCACCCTTCAAACCGAAACGCATTACTGCTTCACGCCAGAAATAGGCAGGGCGATGGTACGTACCTACCCGCGCGGACTCACAAGAGGTCCTACCACCAGTAATTACGCAAATTATAATTTTGCGGGTTTGATTTTTATTACACGATGTTATTCCTTCACCGTGGAAGTCAATCGTGAACATTTGTTGAGTACGTATTTCATTAGAAAAATTGGTACCCGCCTGCGGGATTCGGACACCGGTGCATCGCTACATACGAATGCACCGGACTTCTTATCCTTTAGGCCACAACAATAGCGTTTTCATTCAACATAATGAGTAGTCGTGTATTTTTGTTGTATTAATCTCAACAGAAAGGGTTGTTCGTTTCAAGACATATGGGACGTCGAGGTCCCGGCCAGGAAGCGTGACCCGTCCAGCTGCCTCACACTCCTGCTGTCTCCAGCGGAGCACCTGTACCCTGTCTTCAGGAATCAGCATTACGCTGTGTTCAACGTCCACGACTATAGCGTGAGGTGAGTGGCTTGGCGTGGCGTGGCGGGGCGTGACGGGGCGGGGCGTGACGCGATAAGAAAATTCGTTTTATAGCGACAACGCTATTGGCTATTTCTGCCGTGAAGCAGTAATGCGTCTGTATTTGAAGTGCGAGGCAGACGTTGTATCTATACTGAGACCTTATAATCTCGAGGTGGGTGGCGGCGTTAACGTTGTAGATGTCTATGGGCTCCGGTAGCCTTTTAACACCAGGTGGGCCGAGAGCTCGTCCAACCATAAATGATGTGTGTATACTTATTTATTATAGCATAGCATAGCATAGCATTTAGTATGTAACATATTTAATAGGTGTAATCTCGTATGTCCCCCTAATAAGGCGACCATCCAGAAACATAGGCTTCTTTATAATTGTTAACTACGATTAAGATTATAATTAAACATGGAATACACGCAAGAAGACGTTTTCCTTTAACACCTCCCAAAGTACAACATTACAAAAAAAGGGTGCGTGTACTTATGTACGCGCGTAAGAAGTTACTTTATTTTTTATTACATTTACTTCTTTTTTTTTTATTTAAATTTTAATCAATTTGAAAAAAAATCGATTAATTTGGACATCCCTTTTCTTGACATCGTATAAATTCGGTAATTCTCGGTACGGTTCGGAAAGTTCACCTGCGGCTATATTCAGACTCGCCAAGCTACGTCGGTCGTATTGTAATGAGCGATTTAGTGGGCAACTTCATTCTGTTAATTTTGTGTCACGGTGCGCGCGCATCGTAAAATTTCACTCTCATCAATTTTTCATAAGGCGCCTAAAGAAGTATAACTTCAAAAACTTCCATGATCAATTGCTTACTTTGTCAATGTGGATATACAGTCAAAACCGTTTACTGCGACATCGTTTAGAACAACATGCCGGTTATAACAACCTAGAACAAAGGTCCCGGCTGAATGCCACATGACCGCCTTATTAAAAATATTGCTTTCTACGACATTGGTAATAACGACATACCTCATAAAACGACCACATTTAACTAATATTTCGGAGAAATAGATCTGTTAGAACGACCGGCTAAGCTGTATTGTAAACAATTTGAATAGGTATCCACATTTGTCTTCAATGGCTATTAAAATCAGGAAAGAAAACAATAGGATTTAGTATAGTGTAGGGTCTTTTCTAATTCTTAGAAACAAAACACGTGCATGCAGTAGAGTCAAAGATCGCTTCTTCATATCTCTTCAGTTAGTTTATTACTTATCTATACACAAAACGCACCAAAACTTAGTGGAGTTATTCGTGAAACTTTCAAAATGTCGCAAAGAAAAAGAAAACAAATTAATATTGAAGAAAAACCGCCTATTATGTAAATATATTTTTCCAATAATTCCCTATCGATTTGTTTGTACTTGCACGATACACATTAAACATCACCGGTTGTTACGACTATCGGTTTTTACGACTGAATATGAGCAGTCCCTTCAATGTCGTTATAACAGATTTTGACTGTAATTGGCAATATCATCGCCTGATCCAAGTTTCCTAATCTCGAGTGTTGCTACTTTGCTAGTATTGAAACTCGGCGGAGGGTCGGTAAGGTCCTCAGACTTCCTCAAACGTGAGGACTTCCAACTTCCAAGATTAAGGATCGCCTTAGCGTAGTAAACATGAGACCAGCCACGAAGCTCACCAGTGTGCTTAGTGCGAGTTTTCTAACGTTCTCGATAGCGTAAACGTTAACTCAAATTTGTATGTAGTTGGAACAGCGCCCCTAGCGGCAAGCGCAGGCAAACATTTCAACTCCATACAAATTCGAGTTAACTTTTACGCTATCGAGAACGTTAGAACACTCGCAATAAGCACACTGGTTATATGTGGTACAGCGTGCTGTTAACCAGCGCGGGTGGGCATTCTGTATATGTATCGAATCTATCTTTTATTTTTTATTGCTTAGATGGGTGGACGTGCTCACGGCCCATCTAGGTTAAGAGGTTACCGAAGCCCATAGACATCTACAACGTAAATGCGCCACCCACCTTGAGATATAAGTTCTAAGGTCTCAGTATAACTATACTGTAACTGTAACTACAACGGCTGCCCCACCCTTCAAACCGAAACGCATTACTGCTTCACGGCAGAAATAGGCGGGGTGATGGTACCCACCCGCGCGGACTCACAACAGGTCCTACCTTCAGTAAACTGTACCGTGTACCTTATGTATCTATACTAATATTATAAAGAGGAAAGATTTGTTTGTTTGTTTGTTTCGAATAGGCTCCGAAACTACTGGACCGATTTGAAAAATTCTTTTTCCATTAGAAGCCGACATTGTCCCTGATGAACATAGGCTACTTTTTAAAAAAAAAAAATATTTTATATTTTTGGTTTCATGTGTGTTTTAATGTTTCCGAAGCGAAGCGAGGGCGGGTCGCTAGTACATTCATATGCGTCTAGTAAAAAGGGGTTATTCTAATATTACAAACAGACCATTTAAATTTATATATTTGTATATATTTATTTATTTACAGGTACATGCCTAGGAGCTTCGTTTCTTGACACACACAATGACGTCAGTGGATCTCCAAACAACGTTTTAAAAGAACAACAAAAGAGACTGGTACTTAAGAAGTATTAAAAATAAAATATAATAAAAATAATAAGAAAAAAAAACTTTCGAAATCAAATTTCGTATATATATATTTTTTGTATAGAGACATCTGTGCGTGGAACTAAAAAAAATGGTGAACGTGAAAGAAGTGAAACTTCTCTTGCGGTAGTATTGTAGTTATCTTCATTTTTCATGCTTAAATGAAATTTCTCTTGTAATAGGGAATGCTGAGGTATAAGAGAAACGACCTAACTCGCTTTCTCCCTCTCTCCACGGTCGAGTGGTTCGCGATTCTATCTTTTATCTTTTCTCTCTAGCCGTAACGAATCAGTCGCGAGTTAAATTTTACTCTCAACGCGCCTAAAGAAGTTTCACTTCGAAAATTGTGCATCTCGGGACGCCTTACAGAAGTGGTAACTTAAACTAATCCAAGTTGGACTGTTTAATATTGAAATTGTTTTACTTTAAAAAAAGCTTAAGTTATTACTTAAATTTTATGTATATTAATATGATAATGTAAGAAAAATTGTAACATAAATATAAACTAGATGATGACCGAGCTTTGCTCGTTTTTTTTTTTTTGATAACGCCATCTTGTTGTCTCTTTAAAGCGGTTAGTTGCCCTCAATTTAGAAAAATAGTATTATTATTCTCCAATAGATGTCGGGAAGAGTTGATTATTGAAAACAAGAATAAAACAACATTTTCTGATAATAAATCGTAGCTAGATCGATTTATTGCCCCCGAAATCCTCTGTATACTAAATTTTATGAAAATCGTTGGAGCCGTTTCCGAGATTCAGATTATATACATATATAAGAATTGCTCGTTTAAAGGTATAAGATAAACTATTCATTTTCTTGGTCTAACCTTAAATCAAACACTCATTGGCTTCGAGTGGCTTAACAACGCCATCTGCTGAAGTATCTTTAGTGTTATTTATTGTGTCTTTAAAGCAATTAGTTGCTCTCAATTAAGAAAAACAGTATTATTATTCGCCAATAGATGTCGGGAAGAGTCATAAAGTTGATTATCGATAAATTTGATTATTGAAAACACGAATGAAACAACATTTTCTGAAAATAAATCGTAGCTAGATCGATTTATCGCCCCCGAAATCCCCTGTATACTAAATTTTATGAAAATCGTTTGGATACAAGAATTGCTCGTTTAAAAGTATAAGATAGTTAGGAGTTACATACGTTATCAGTATCGCTGCCGTATGCGTGAGAGAAAGAGACGCCAAATAGACTGGCGCCGTAACGCGTTACGTTAGCCTCCCATAAGAAGTTATCACTTCATTAATGTTGTGTCTGAATCGGAGCGTTAATAGTGATGTTATATGAAAAAAAAATACATTTTGTTAAATATTTTTTTTTCAAATTTATTACCATGTTTGTTATTAATTGCCCAATATCATATTTAACTTGTCGGGTTTCTTCGAAAATTCCACTTCTTTTTTTTCCTACGTATGCTGATAGCCTTGAGAGGCTATTTCAGCTTCACCCTCACGTTTGTAGGTGAGCTCACGGGGCTCAAACCGGAGTGTTGATAACACTGACCCTAGCAAGAGCCGTGCTTCGCAGAATCTACCACCGGATCGGAAACTCGACCCACTGAGAAGATCCGGCGAGATACTCTGTGGGCTGTGTCTATGGGTTAATTCGCTCGTCGAGCCCTTCGTCGCAAGCGACGGGTTCGACGAGGACGGTGACCGGAAATTCCACTAAGTACCGGCCGGTATTACACTGATATGTATTTTGAAATCGGCGATACAAGTCGAACGGGCTAAAAGGTAGCGTCGCCAATGGCCGTGAGCAAAGTTTCACTCAAGATTAAATTTCTCGAATTTAATTTTTTTAAATTCATAACTAACACCCAATAGGTACTAATTCATTTTTAATATTATTATTATTATATATCGAGATGTGAAAGATTGTCTGGTTTATGCAACTGTTCGGAAAAAAACTAAAGCATTTGGAAAAAAAATATCCCGACTGATTCTACAGCTGCTTCTACAGTGTGAACAGAAATAGGAGCAGATCGAGGCTAGTATTGAAATGAGTAGCAGACGTATTTGCCAACCCGCGGCTTCTTGCAGGCTGCCGAGTCCAAGGAACTTGACTAGTGGAAGACACGTAATGGCGGCGGTCGGCCTGACAGCGCGGTGCTTTTAGGTACCTCAAGCACCGGTCATCGTTCTCGTCGAACCTGCTAGGACTGTTTATTAGTTCCTCAGTGTAAGGACGACATTGACATCGCTTAACCCTTTGACTGTCATATAGGTCACCGGTGCCCTACGCGGCGCACTGAAGTAATTGTGTCAATTTCTGTTACTTTTTTATGATTGAACTGGTGGCCCGGAGGCTTTTTCAGTTTCACCAGGACAGGTGGGCGAGCAAAGTTGCCGCTAGGGGCGCTGTTCCAACTGCTTACAAGTTTGAATTAACTTTTACGTTATCGAGAACGTTAGAAAACTCGCACTAAACACCAAGATCTACCGTTTGTTCGTCCCGCGCGAAATACATGCGAATATCAATTAACCACTTAAAGCGATAATAAAAAATGTTATAGCATTTTTTTGAATCACAATCAATATTAGGTATTAAAAGATACTAGAGGTCCCGCAGTAGTCGAAATTCGACTATAGCTAATTGGAATTGTAAGTTTGTACACTATTATGATTGTATTTTATACTTCTATAATCACAAATTTCGGCAAGACTACACTATAAAAAATATTAACAAAGACAAACAATATTTAATCTATTCTCAATTTGACAACAGACGTCAAGAACCAAAGTTTGTCAATAAATAGTATGCATGCGTGTGTGCGTTAAATACATGGTATGTAGTGTGTGTACTGTTTTCTTTATTGATTTAATGTATCTTTTATGCATTATTTAAAAAAAATATTATCATTGTGCACTTCTTCTCTATATTCTCCATAAGTGTGGAAAATTTCACACTCCTCCGTCGGCGCAATTTTCGTAAAAAGGGATACAAAGTTTTTGCTTCACGTATTAATATATAGATGTACATATATGTAAGTATTAAAAATTAATAAAAGTGCATATTGAAGTTTGAAGTTTTCTTTTACTGACACACAAGACCTAGTTGGCCTGCGAGGATTTTTTGTGAACTTCTAAGAAAGAAGTATGAGCTTTCACACCTTTTTTTTCCTGCCTAAGCTGATGGTCTTAAGAGACAATATCAGCGTTACCTTAACTAGTAGGTGAGCTCAAGGTGCTCAAACCTGACGACGTTGCTAACACTAGCCCTAGTCATCGCAATGCTTCGCAGAATCCACCACCGTATCGGAAACGCGACCCACTGAGAAGATCCGGCGAGAAACTCAGTGGGTTAGTTCACTCGTCGAGCCCTTCGTCGCAAGCGACGGGTTCGACGAGAACGATGACCGGTGCTTGAGGTACCTAAAGGCACCGTTAGTGGATCGGGAGGATCCGAAATGACGTGCTTTAGGTATAAAATTATCGTTTCCGTTAAAGTTTTTTTTAGTGCTTGATAGGTGGACGAGCTCACGGCCCACCTGATGTTGAGTCCATAGACACCTATGACGTAAATGCCGCCACCCATCTTGAGATATTTCTAAGGTCTCGGTATAGTTACAACGGCTGCCCCGCCCTTCAAACCGAAACGCATTACTGCTTCACGGCAGAAATAGGCAGGGTGGTGGTACCTACCCGCGCGGACTCACAAGAGGTCCTACCACCGCCTGCGGGATTTGAACACCGGTGCATCGCTACATACGAATGCAGCGGACGTCTTATCCTTTAGGCCACGACGACTTCAAAGTTAAAAGTGGATTATGTGGAGGTTTCGAGAAGGATCCCCCACACACCTGTTTTTCTGGGCCGGGGGCCGAACCTCCTACGAGGTCCCTGCGCTCAAGGGACGCACAGGGTATGTGGGAGCAGACTGCGGGCCCAAGGATGGTATTTGGGTCCTACTAAACTAAACTACTCAATTCCCATAAACCCTACCCAAGGGATCGTTCAGTAAAACGACCAATGTATTTATTACAAAATTTATTACTAAAACACAAGAAAAAATACAAAACTCATAAGGTTGTATGAATGCTACTCCCAAATTGTGCTTTGGCACTACAAAAATAAAACTTCTTTTCGTCTTAACAAATTCGTTCTGCGAAGGCGTCTAATAAAAAATGCAGTTTTTTTTAATTACACTCAAACAGCAAATAGTACACAGCATATAATAACAAAACTAAAAAAAAAACATTCTACATAACGTCTTTAAATATATAGGAATTTGAAAAAAAGCCCTTTAATAATAATTAATAATATGATAAGTCAAAATCTGTCACTGTCAATATCGCAACTATTTTTTTTGTTTTAAAGTTAAAACCCACAGATACGGAATACCATTTTTTTTATTACAAAAAAGTTTTATTATGGTATCATATTCATTAAAGATGAAGGTTTTTAACCAATAAATAAAAATTACAGCAACGGCATTTGGGTAATTATTTGACGAAAAAAAAATTTTTTTATTTTATTTTATTTTGAAATGAATACGGTGGTTTAAATCAGTTCTTATAGCTAAGAAGTTACACTATTATTGCTGAAAACAATCTTAGAAAATATTTTACAATACCAAATTCTATTATGTAAGTACATACATCGATAATAAAATATTACGTCATGCGCCATTTTGTATCCATGTTTGAACAACATCAAAAACGTTATATTGACTTATGGAGGGTATCTGTAAGGAGCGCCATCTTGTATAGGGGACAACAAGACTCTTTGGAAGACTCACCGAAATAGCGCTAGTGTAAGAATTGGAAATTATATGAATATAGCAGTTTTGTACAGAGTAAATTGTAATTTGTAAATTGTTTAATTAAAAAATATACAGGGTATTTAAAATCTCAACTATTTATTTTTATTACTATTTAAGTATGAAGCGTTTCTTTGTTTCCTAATTTAATATCCTGCTCTGATAGTTTAAGGCGCTGTTTTTAAAACCCTTCCACATGCTACTGTGGCGCTACCTTAATTGGCTCCGTTTCAGCGGACACTTTTTATTACACAATTTTTTTAACGAGTTTTATGACCAGGTAACTAAGACCTTTAGGTCAATTAATACACTAATATGCCGCTCCGTATTTCTAACCTCCTTAAATTACTGTAACAAAACTCAAATCTGTACGTAGAATAATAAAAAAAACTCGAATTCTGTTTAATAAACGACAAATCTCGTTAAGAAACTCATAACGAGCATCGTTATAACGGAGAAGGCGGCGCGGTTCGCAATATCGGGCACTTGCGGGGTCGCCCGGCTGCACGCGTCCAAGTGTCTGAACAATTCCATGTAGTTCCTGGCGGGTTCGTGAGGAGCCTCGCCCGTGGGCTCCGTTAGGCCTATAGTCGAGTCCTTGAACAACAAATCGCTAATCCCGTTGAAAGGCGAGAACAAATCCAAATTGATGAGCTGGTTCGCGGCCGCCGTGTTGTAGCCGAAGTACGCGTCCAGCGAATCGAATAAAACGTTCAGAGCGTTGTTCAGCGGGTCGCCTCTGTGGAGGAACAAAACGTTTTACAGATTAGTTTTTAGAAGAGTTGCAATGTTGCCAATAAAAAAAAACTAACACGTATTTATCGGTGATTTTTTTTTCTACCCTTTCGCTGGTAGACTAAGTGGCTATTACAGCTACACGCCAACGGGTAGGTGAGCTCACTGACTCTACCTGAGAGAGTTTGCTAACACTAGCCATAGCAAGAGCAGTACTTCGCTGAATTCACCACTGGATTGGAATTACGACCCGTTGAGAAGATCCGGCTGGAAACTCAGTGGTCTGTGTCTATGGGAGCTTCGACCTTCAAAGTCGGCGAGTTCACCGTTACCACTCACTTATATCCCGATCGAGATTATATATCGAGGGGTGAAAAGCTGTATGGTTTAGGCGACATTTTTGCAAATTTACAGGAGGGCCAATTAAAGTTTAAAATTTTGGTAAACATTAAATATAACAAGAAAAAACTTTCTTCAGCTATTTCAATGGAGTAAACTTAATCGAAGTTCAATTAAAAACATCGAACGGTTGATGCTTATACCAAATACAAACGGACCTTTATTTACAAAGATAAGTGTCGCGTCTAAACCAAACAGCCTTTCACTTCTTCCAGTGTGCTTAGTATGAGTTTGCCTACGTTTGCCGCTAGGGGCGCTGTTCCAACTCCATACAAATTTGAGTTAACTTTTACGCTATCGAGAACGTTAAAAAATTCGCACTAAGCACACTTTTGAGTCCGCACGGGTAGATACCACCACCCTGTCTATTTCTTTTATTCTATTATATTAAGGTAGCGCCCTCTGTGAATTAATATTTTAATTTCACGTATAATCCTAAATTAAAATTCACTACAAGAGCTTTCATACACACGTTAGTATTAAAAAATCTCACAGATGACGCTGTATTAAATACCTATAGTATGTATATTTCTGTCTCATTCTTTGCTGGCTTCATCCTAAACATTTTTGTATTTGTGTCTCTTACCTGTCGTTTTTTCCGTTGCATCCGGTTTGAAATCACAACGATTCTAAAGAAGTTTTCACTTAAAAAAAAAACAGGTATGTGATGTAACAGGTTAGATTTTACCTTCTGGACAGAACCTCCGCGTCGACAACGTAAGCGAGGAGACAGTTGTCGTCAATGAACACGCCAGGCGTGGCGGCGAGCGTGTTGTTCTGACAGAGGGCACGGAACTGATTGGCTTGCAGTCCTAACGCTTGTAAGTGAACTGAAAGAAAACAAAAAAAATAACTTAAAATCTTGTGTGACCAAAATTATTACGATTATTCTAGACTTCTTGATTCGCCAGCTACAAATGAATGATTAATATATGTCGTAATCTCGGTAAATGTTATCGATCGAGTATAGTCGGAAACGTCAAGTACTTCGCTCGGGTAAGGTCGATACACGGTCGATACAGCGATGGCAACACTAGTTACCGACGGTTTGACGTTTGAGGTTGTTTGACAGTTGACGTAGTGACCGGTCACTCGCATTCGCACGAATACGCAACCCACAAGTGTGGGACGACATTTGCAAATGATTAAGCAAAGTTTTAGCTGCATTCGCGGTTTTCCAAGCTGTGTCGGTTTTTTAATGCCGGTCACTCACATGCGCGCAAATATTCGTACATTGTACGAATGTTTGCGCGCATGTGAAGGGCCGTCATTACAGTAAAGTAAAGACCGCCATCAGGGGGGTGCAACTCCCATACAAAGGAAAATAACATACAACTAGCGTCATCTTACTCCTGTGGCGACGTCATTTTTGTAACTTTTAGGCATTAATGATCTAATAAACTCACTAGATGGCAGATATGAGTTCTGACTCAATAAAAAATGTAGCGTACTTTGAAGCAGTGCTTCCACTTTTAGGGAATTCTCCCTTTTTTAGGGAAAAATAGCTGATATTTTGGATGATAAAGACAATTTAAAAAATACCAGGATTTAGGATATTTCGGGGTAAAAAGCAAAGCCTATACTAGTAACTGTTGTGAATTTTAAAATAAACGATAATTAAAGTAAAACAATGAACATTTTATTTTATGGAGAGAGAATGACATTAAGTCGAGTTGACAAGTAAAAGAATAAAACAGAGTTGTGTATAAAAACTATAAAGGTTTGATTCAACAGTAACCCTCTAGTAAAGTAAATCATAGATTAAGCCACTGCTTTTTCTTAGGGATTCCCCAGAATCCCAATAAGTATAATCCGCCAAATTTTTATTTACCTATTTTCGTTGATGTCACCAGAACTTACTTGTATTGTAATATACAGGTACTTCATGTACCATGAAAGATTATCATGGTAATTTCATTTACGAAAACCTTGTAATTGTCATTTCACTTTTGCTAGCAGTTCCTTCTTCAAAGACTGAGGTGGAAAGATTATTCAGTGTTCTCAAAT